AAAACTATAAATACTTAGACAGGAAGTGGCTATTTTAGGTGGAATAAACCTACTAAACCCTACCTTGCTAGCTTGAAAGTACTATTTAGATAAACCGATGAAACTGTACAGAAACTAGTATTTTGGGTGGAATAATCTACAGCCTCTGTTGCAGACACATAATATTGATTTGAATTTCTAATATCTCACAAATAAACAGAGAAAAACATTGCATACAGTGTGTTGTGGTGCTGTGCCAGTGTTCCAGACGGGGCGGTTCTGTTACATGTGTCGGTTTGTTTTGCTCCCACCGGGCTGGTGGCGCTGCGCTGCTCCTCGGCTCCGGCAGCAGACAGACAGTCGGGATGTGGAGTGTGATTGTCGGAGCTGCCTGGGACATGTCCGAGTAGGAAACCTTGCTTTATCACCGCCAACAGCGTCAAAACCCCGTGTCGAAGATGGGGCAGTGCGGCATCACGTCCTCGAAGACGGTGCTGGTCTTCCTGAACCTGATATTTTGGGTGAGTTTTGGAGGTTTGCGCCAGTTTTGAACGTGCGTCACACCGCAGCAGCAGCAGCAGTTAGCTTGATGTGTTTGTGTGCGGCGGCGGCGGTCAGCTGCTAAGCTAACCGACCTTTGTTTCTCCAGGGAGGGATTAGTTTCAGAAGGCATTGGAGGGGAAAGACGTTACACCACTTGTTAGATTCGGTTTATGTTGTTAAATGAATCACATTTATTGCGGCGTTTTACAGCTAAACGACCCGTTTGTTTGTTGTGCTGCTTGCTAAAGTTAAACTGTCACTTTCTGACCCCCCCTGTTCAGACAGAAGCAGCACACATGAGTCAGCAAAACACGTTACTGTTGATTTAAAATGCCACAAGACAGTTCAGTGTATTTATAAAAACCGATATAAGTATCTGTATTGTGTTCAATGGACGAACTGTCAACATGCCAACATGCTTTGTGGTGGTTAAATCTAGTTTATCATGTTCCATTAATTGATCCTAAAGTGTCCTGTTGTTTGTTGTGCAAAATCTGAATTTGCCTGGAGCTGCCAAGTGAACTTACTGAAATAAAAAGTACAGCATGCTTCTCTAAAGAATAACTTTTAGGATCCATCAAATGGAAATACTCTAATTTATATGGAGGTTACTGTCCTCCTCTGAGGATAGGGGCTATTAGTGATGATTTAATAGGAATAATGATAGGAGTAATAATAGCAAAAGCAGAATAGGCTTTAGAGGACAAAATAACAACAAAAAGTCACAGTTCAAACTAAGCAAAGCAAAATTAGGGTGTAGTCTAGATAAAGATCAAGCAATGAGGCAAAAATGCAAAATGTCAATATTAATAATTGCAAATAAGGTAATAAAAGCGATTAAACTTTAAAAGATAAAAAAAAAAATTAAACAACGAGGGCACTGCATATAGTCTTACAAAATGTTTTCTAAAAAGTGATTTAACAGATTCTGTGAGCCTAATCTCCCCAAGCAAGTCGTTTTAAAGCTGACAGCAAAACACTTTCTCCTTTAGATTTAAGCCTCAGCTTTGAAATAGCCAGAAGGGCCCAACCTAAAGGATCCGAGGCTGCAGTCTGGCTCATATGGAGACTCAATTTCTGCTGGGTTACAGGCCAAGATATGCTTTTAAAAAAATTGTTAGTAAAATCTTAAAATCAGTTCTAAAAAGAACAAGGAGCCGGCAGAGGTGATGCACAGGTGATGTGATGTCTTCTGCTAAAAGTAGCAAGAGGCTGAGCTGCTTAGTTCTACATTAGCTGAAGGCAAGAGAGTGACTTTTGGTTTATGCCAAGGAGGGAGTTACAATAGTCAAGCTTATAGAAAATAAGTGCATGGATGACTTACGCTGCTATATACTGCTTCTGTACGTTGAATACTGAGCAACAGCTTTCTGAAAACAACACTATAGCATTCTTTATAGCTGTCATGTTTATCAGTGGTGCAGCAGAACCCAGAAACTTACTTAAATGTGAAAAAAGGCACCATGGAAACAACTTTCACTGGTGCATTGACACCTGGTTTTCTGCTGTCAACAGGACTGAGAAAACAGTTTTTTTTTTTTTTTTGTCACCCACAGGCTGCTGCTGGCATCCTGTGCTATGTTGGAGCCTATGTCTTCATCACATATGATGACTACGATCACTTCTTCGAAGATGTGTACACGCTCATACCAGCAGTGATCATCATTGCTGTTGGAGCCCTCCTTTTCATTATTGGGCTCATTGGATGCTGCGCTACAGTGAGAGAGAGCTACTGTGGACTTACAACGGTTAGTAAACGAGTTGTGTATGCAGTAAAGACGTACTTCAAGGTATAAACTTATTAAATTTAACTTGCCAAAAGCATTTAGTCATTTATCCCATTTGATTGAACAGAAAACTGCAAGGTGTGAACCGATAGGTATAAATACGGTAACTTGAACAGGCCAAAGTAGAAGACTGTATCTTAACTCTTGAAATTCAATCCACAGTTTGTCGTCATTCTCCTGCTGGTTTTCATGACGGAAGTGGCGGTGGTGGTTCTCGGATATGTTTACAGAGCAAAGGTAAGAAAGCCAAATACATTTCAAGACATTTGTTTTGTGACGTAGCTGATCTTTCTGACCACACCCGCCACAATCATTCACTGATAACTTAATCTCGTGTTCGCTGCCACGTTGATTTGTATTGTCCACGGAGATGTGTCAACAAAAGACTAGTCTCACCCTGTTTAACCGTTGCCAGGTTGAAGATGAAGTTAATGGCTCCATTATAAAAGTTTATGACGAGTACAACGGCACCAACAGCAACTCCCAGAGCCGAGCCATCGACTACGTTCAGAGACAGGTGAGGTCAAATGTCCTGTTTGCTGTATCGCCCCGTGCGCTCGTGTTGTTTCACCTTTGTCTATATGCAAGTGCTTGACACTGCTCTTGACTTTTTTTTATTGCTTTCATCTTCAGCTTCAGTGTTGTGGGATCCACAATTACTCAGACTGGCAGCATACGCGCTGGTATGAAGAATCAAAAAATAACAGCGTACCCGTCAGCTGCTGCAAAGCCAGCATCGGAAGCTGCACGGGGTCCCTCACTCGTCCAGAAGATCTTTACCAAGAAGTAAATCAAACTTTGTCAAGTTGTCATACTAATGACATTTTTTTAATAAAATGATTTCACCTAGTAGTTTCACATGCTTAAACCGATTGTGTGTGTGTAGGGTTGTGAAGCTCTGGTTGTGAAGAAGTTGAAGGAGATCATGATGTATGTCATCTGGACTGCTTTGACATTTGCTGCCATCCAGGTATTTCATTTCTATCGATATACCTTGTTCTACATACCATCATGAGGTATTAACTTGGGAGGTGGCTGCCTTGAAAATGTTTTTGTTCTGCTTTACCTGTAAAGCAAACAGACGGTTAGGAGTGAGCAAAAGGTTACAAGCTTCCAGCTGCATTCACCATTTATTTTTTTGTCACCCTGAAACCACATGCGTCTTCGAATCAGCCACAAATTAAAAGCCATTTATGGATTCGTGCTTTCTGTATTAAATACAGTCACTCGTTCACTGTTACCTATCAAGTGCACATTTCTTTTTATAACAGACAGCAAGAGCTTATCAAATAGTTACAGAAGTGTGTTTAAATATAAACTGTGCTTCTTAGCTGTGCTGTAAGACTTGATTAGGTTGTGCAACAAGTTTCCTTTTTTAACTGCACATGAGTTTGTGTTAGCGAAGTGGTGAAGCAAAGGATTATTCTCAAGCATTGTAACTTTAATTAATCTGGCCTATTTATTTTCTGATACGCTATTCGACACTGTGAGATCTTGAAATGTCAATGACGCTCTCTCTTCCCTCTAGATGCTGGGGATGCTGTGTGCGTGTGTCGTGCTGTGTCGCGGAAGCAGAGATCTTCCCTACGAGCCTCTGGTTACAGGGGGCACCTATGCATAAAGGAGAACACGTTTCTCACCACGACACTCAGAATTTACGTGTCGTCGGCGAGAGCATGAAAATAATCTATTACCACACTAACCTTAACACACTAACCATGGCAATCCTATATATTTTACCTGTTTTTCCAAAAAAAGCTGTTGGCCACACTTATAAAAGCCCGACGAGAATGAGACGTTGAAATCGATCTTTTGCTCGGAGGATAGCGCGAGGGTACGTGTGACCTCATTCTTACCAAACCTTGTTAGTCATGTATGGCATTAAATTTGGACAGGGTAATTTCCTCATGTTAGTTTGCACTGTGTGTATGGCGATTTTATTTTTAAATCTGTCATGTACTTAAATAAGAGACTGTATAGTTTGACCTTGGACCTCCACGGCTATTGCTATTGCTACTACTATTCTGCTACTACTACTACTACTACTACTAGCTCAGTTATGGTTGAAACTTTACCTTTCACCAGCAGCATTCTGTCAAATAATGGTCAACGTCACAGCCCAAGTAAACGGCACAGGATATTTTTGTGTGTCAACTGTGTATTTTAACTGGCTTTTGCTTGTCTGAGCTTTATTTTAAGAATCAAACGTTTAGTATGGGGGAGGGAGGGTGTATCTGAAGTGATGTTGCATTCTCAACTTAAGGTAGACTTTATCTCTTCACTGTTTTGGTTTGTTTTTGTCTCAACAGTCTACTGATGGTAGTTTTAGATTCTGATTTGCTGATATGTAGCAGTGGGAAGACATAAGAATGTAAATAAAATGTAAGGATGGTAAAGGGTGGAAATTAAATTAAATATGTTTTCTGGTTTATTCTTTGTCAGAAATCCTTTTTTTTTTTTTTTTACAGATTTTATTTTCTCTTCTATCGGTGTTGTTACTGGATAAACAAGTCATCAAGGTCCCAAATAAGAGAGCTCAGGGCTTTCTCTTGTTGTTGGAGGGGTTCTCATACGCTGTCACATGGTTCGATCTGTGTCGATCTGATGTCGTTAGCCCCGGAGTTTTAAAAGTCTTCAAACTATGTTGGATGTTTCCCATGAAGTATAAACTTCTGTGATGACTAATATAAGTCTCTGACTAAACCCCTTCAGACCACGCTGTATCTGCTTGTATAAGACCTGGCAACCACTGAAACACTATTGTGTGAACTGCACATGCTTAAAATGGCAATAAGAAGACTCAGCTTTGGTTACTTGATAGACACAGCGTTAGCAATGTCGCGCAGTGCCGAGTAACCAGATACCACTGAACTAAAGAGAGCAGACGACTCAGCCACATGACCCGAGAATAGAGCACGGTGTGATCTACGTTAAAAATAGTTTTCATATCGATATCACAGAATAGAGTTGAAGCAGTACTACATTTAATGCAAAATGAGCAGCTTTCTTAATTATTTGGGGCTAAAAATAATGAAAAAGAGAAAGAAAATGTATCTTTTATATGGAATAAATACAGACAAATGCTTCACAAACAATCTGTTTTGCATTTAAAGTACAAATAATAATAATTACATGTAGAAATTATTTATATGGGCCAACAACAGAAGTCAAACAGCAAACTTTTAAGACATAAAATATACAAGAATATTACAGTATATGAATAAACTCTAGTGCCATAATCCTGTGCAAGACATCAGTAAATCTCTCAGCTGGCTTCGGTATGAGAAGCACTCAACACCAGCAGTGAGGATAAGTAATATGATACATATAATATTTTAAATTCCACTCTCATCACTGCTCACATGCGACTCTATCTTGAAGCCCCTGTGCTGCTTTTTAAGAAATTATTATTTTTATTGGTAGAAATGAGACAATCTGTGTAAGTAGGTGCAATGTGCTGTTGTCAGTCTTTCATTCTTGGGTCCAATTCACATTTATGCAATTGTCAGCCACAGTGTCTTTTATATTGCTACCACTAGGTGGAATCAAAGTTGGAAAAGTTCAAATCCTACTCACAGAGGCTTCAGTCATACATGTAAGCGAGATGTGAGATCAAATTATGAGGGGAGTTTGAAATGACAAGGCCTTTAGAGAATGTACATGTGGAAATGTAGTTGTACAGTCCTACATACAGCTGCCAGGTACACTCATTCTTTAGCTAGATAAGAGCCTGGAACCAGTCCGGTGAGGCCGTTTCTTTTCACCGTCCACCAGCCGTCCTGACCTTCCTCAATGACAAAAACAACATCCCCGACAGAAAGACAGAGTTCGTCTTCCCCCTAAACAAGGAGGGAAACAAGCAGTCAGCAGACTATTCTTCAAACGAACAAGTGAAAGTGTCTCATGTAGAGGTTTAGAAGAGATGCTGACCTGTGCCGTGTAGTCGTACACAGCTTTGTACTCCTTACTGGTTGTCTGTGTTGCTTGAAATCCAGGAATGGAAGCGTAGACTCCATCTGATGGTTCTGCTAAAGAGAAATATTCATTTACTGTCTGTAGCCAGTCACAGTTTGCGATTGGGAGTTTTGTATTGCATCAGACAAGCTAAAAGAAATGATCTGAAGTGATTCTTAAAGAGGATGTTATCTGACAATATCCATCCATCCATCATCTATATACCGCTTAATCCTCAGTAGGGTCACAGGGAGCTGGAGTCTATCCCAGCTGACTTAGGGTGAAGGCAGGGGACACCCTGGACAGGTCACCAGTCTATCACAGGGCTACACTTAGAGACAGACAACTCCACGCAGAAAGATCCCGGGTGTCCTCACCGGGACGCGAACCAGCAACCTTCTTGCTGCAAGGTAACAATACTAATCACTGACCCACCTTGCAGCCCTATCTTACAATATATATGTAAAAGTGGAAATTGTTGCAATATTTTTTCCCAACATAAAGCATTTAATCATGCAGTTGTCGATGTGTTTATCTGGTCTTTTTTTTCTGTTCTTGGTCAAGTTTGCTTTCCTACTACCACCATTTAAAGAGGCAGAAGTAGGACTTTTAAATCATTGATAACTTTAGCTAGCAGTTTTAGCTATTGGTTTAAACAACTCTGCTTGCTCTGATCACTTCTGAACAGACGTTAAAGGTGTTAAAACTGATTCCGGTTGGTGGGAGGTGTGACTATACTATATATAACTTTACTGGTGATTCTATCAGTAAAAAATTATACAGACAGCTGACAGATTAAAGAAACATAAAGTGTCTTAGTACGATGTTGAGGTGTTACATGTTGCCAGAGCAGCTTTAGTGCTCCTTGGCATTGAGTTTTTGAATGTTTGTCACAACTGTGTACTTAGACTGGCATCAACTCTTCCCTCTTAGAGGGTAAATGGACCCAAACCATGTCAGCAAAATGCACCCCCACAGCATATCAGAGCCACCACATCCCTTCACTGTTGGGTCAAGAGTTCAGGCTCAACCTTTAATTTGTCATCTATCTGTATTTCATCTCACAGACATCTATAATATTGTGTGTTTATGTGCCTCTGCCAAACACAAAAAAGCTGATATATATACAGTCGTCCTCAAATTATTCATACCCTTCCATTAAAGAAAAGGCAAAACTCACAACAAACTGAAAAAAGTAATAATAAATAAAAATGTGCTAAATTATAATTTTGTGAAATAAGACATTGCTTTGGAATTGTGATTAGAAAAGAATAATTAAAAAAAAAAACTGTCCTGGACAAATTCGAGCACTTTGCTGATGAGCAGTGAACCAAAATCAAAATAGCTGCCAACAGGTGCAGAAGTCTGACTGAGAGTTACAGAAAACACTTGAGTGCAGCGATTGGCTCAAAAGGTTGTTCAGCAAAATATTATGGGTCCCATCATGCTTGTTTGCTTGTTTTTTAATATTTCTGTTGAACCACAATTCAAAAGCAATGTCATGATGTTCATTACATTTTTATTTATTATTACTTTTGTCAATTTCAACTTATTTCAGTGACAGCTGTTCTTTTCCTTCCTTAATGGGAGGGTATGAATACATTTGAGGACGACTGTATGTCTATTTTAACTGCAGAGATGCCCAATCGGATACCCCTGGTGGGGAATCACTTGTATAACAAATAATAACTCCAGTATGTAGCAACATCTTCAGCTGCGGGGGTCAAGTGGCTTTAACAATCACATCTGTCATCATTTAGACATTACAGTGTTACTTGAAAAACATTGGTTCCATACCAGCAGGTTGTGTAACTGGTTCATTGATGCTCAGTTTGGAGCCACTGGAGCAGTTCCCCTGCAGAAGATTTGAAAACCTGGAAATATTTGTAAACCTAGGGATGAAATCATCAAGAGATGTACGAAAGAGGGTTAAAAGCTCATTAAAAAAAAAAAAAATAAAATTCCATTCTCTTTATCATCATTTGTTTCATAATCTTGTGTAATCTCGACCTTTTCATGACTCCTCCGACAAATCCAGCGCTGCCGTTTCTGTCAGCTCCAGAATTACGGTCGTAGTAATTTTGGTACTCCACTGCAGCTGTGACAAGACCATTACAATTCAGTGAATAAAAATCTGTCTCTTCACAGGTCCTGTTTGGCAATGCAGCGACTGTTTCCTGCGCCAAACACTGAGTTGTGTGTTTAAGCTTCAGGTGTGAGATAATATTAAAATTTTCAACTGGGAACATATTCAAATCCAAATCAGGAAGGCAGCATGGCGAGTGCCGACCATACCTGGAGGAGATGAGCCGCTTCTTTTCGTCTCCACAAAGCTATTATTGTCTGTGACGATGTCGCACTGTTCCAACGTTTTCCTCACGTTCTCGTAACACTGAAAGAGAAGTTTGTCCAGAATGAATTCCAAACATTACAGTCGGGCGTATTGACTTTGCTGAGGGTCAGTCCGGTGTAGACGTGTGAAAACAGCTGCACCTACCTCATCGTCTTTCACACTCTGCATTGATAAGTGGTTACAGTGCACCCACAAGGCGTTCCTTAGGACGCTGATGCGGTCTTCTTCTTGCTGTTGAAACATCTGTAGAACAACAGGTTGATTGGAAAAGTTGTAAATAACCTAGAAAACATGAGTGTATGCACAGTTCTACAATCAGCAGTGCAAATGGCAGCTTTCTTGCATGAAATAAAATGCCCAATGTGGCCTTTAGTCTTTGCAATCTGTCTACAAAAAGGTTTAAAGCTGTAATTTAAATGCTTTTTAATGCTTCATAGCTTTCACACATACATGGTTTTTACTAAATTCATGTGCAGCTTTAAATTGAAGTTTGAACTTCAGCTTTCTCTTTTGTTTCCTGGTATATTTCATGTGAGTGTGCGTGTGTGTGTTTGAATGTCATGTGTGGTGGTGTACCAACTACAAATGCCCATATAAGAATGTGTGAAGTGGTTGAATGTCTGTCTAAGCTTTGTGGATGTTATCACAAAAAGGAAGACTTGGCTGGCCGGAAACATTTTTGTAGATTAGTGACTCACTGTGTTGCCTTCTTATGGGAAGTGTTACACATCCTCATTGACAAAACAGGCCTCGGGTATTGCCACTCTTGGTCTAAGTCTGTACGTTTTAAAACCCATCAAGCATACCTCACAGGATTCAATGTGTGTTGATTCCCACTCTTGGCGGACCTTGTCCAGCTGTCCAATATTGGAAATGTAATGTTTTTCTAAAGACAAATGAAATGATTGCAAAGAAAATCAGCAACTCTTCTGTAATTTCTAGAATGCAGATTGAAAAGTAAAGAGCATAAATGCACCATTGACGCGTGTAAAGTTATGCAAACAGTAGGCTGGTTTATGTACTGCCTCAAAGCCTATTTCTGGAATCCTCAGTAAGAGAGAAGTTAAAGTGACCACTGTCCTAAAAAGAAAATTTCTGGTAAACCACCGCAGCTTCCTGCATGAGATGACATCGTCATTGCAAGAATATGGCAAATAAGTTGACTTAATGTGCGTCCTTACCAGCCTCTTCTGCAGTATCTCTGCACTGTTTAGATTTGTTGTTCAACTGAAAGAGAAAAGAAAACACAGAGTGATGCATCGGCTTTATACGTGCCAACTCAAAGCTTGTATCAAACACAAGCTGCAAAATAAAGTCACAGCAGATGATAACTACATTACAAAAAGAGAACAGAAAATTGAATTTCCCCATTTTGTCAGTGTTATCTCAGACTCTCGCATCTAATTTAAAAATACACCTTCGTCTTATCGATAAAAAATTACATAGCATGTACTTGTTTACAGTATATTGAACTAATAGTGGGTAGTTGCTATGCAGTGAGTGTGGAACAAATCAGGAACCACTTAATTAAATATTAACAAATACTTCCTGAACAACTAATACGATGATGAGCTGCTTGAGAACAGGCTCGTTGTGACAGTCTATGGCAACACATTATTAACAAATCAATAAATAATGTTTGCTTTGGAAATATCTACACTCATCATACATTTCACTTTCTAAATTAGCATCAGTTGAGCAGCACAACACTAATTAATCAGTCATCACCTCATCTTTAGTTTCCTTTTTTGTGCAAGCCATTAGTTCAACCTGATATTAATTAATGCACCGCTTTACCTGAGGGTTAACAAAAAGGGGAAGCAATGTTCAAGTGATCATGAAGTAATGAGGGATTACACAATGCTCAGTACAATGTATTACTTAAAAGAGTAACTCGTGATTTTTGTATCGCTCTGCTTCAGAGTTCAATAAAAACAACTCGAGGAGATTATCTGCCGTGCATCGAGTGGCAGGTCAGTTCTCCGTCAGCTCGTCTGCTATATAGTCCTCCGCTGTGAGTTATTCAGGAAGAACAAAAAATGCTAAAGTTAGGTTTTTAATTTCATCTTATTTGACCCCCAGCTGTTCTTCTTTTAGCTGATTCATTTGTATTAAAAATTGAAATGCTCTAATTATTCTCAGTAATTTAAATATTTTGCTAATTGTGCCTTTCACTATTTTTATTGTGAATGAATAAATGAATGAATGAAATATTTAGTTTGAACAAAAATAAAAGTAAAACAAAGTAAAAAACAAGGGGAAAAAATGTAAAAACATCAGCTTGAAAAGGAGCAGGAAGAAGTATAAACTTATTAACTCCCACCCCCTTATCAGCCCATGATTCATTATAATATTACATGTTCCTATATATAGTAAATGGATCGTCACTCTTATCCAAGTTTCTTACTTGTATGTGTACTTTTATTTTCTTATTATGCTATATTGTAAATGGGGCGGGCTGCAAGGTGGAGCGGTGGTTAGCACCGTTGCCTCGCAGCAAGAAGGTCGCCGGTTTGCGTCCCGGTGAGGACACCCAGGAGTTTGCATGTTCTCCCTGTGCAGTGTGGGTTCTCTCCGGGTTCCCCTGCCTGCACCCTGAGTCAGCTGGGATAGACTCCAGCCCCCCACGTGACCCTAGTGAGGATTAAGTGTTGTATAGATAATGGATGGATTGTCATTCTTATCCTAGTTTCTTACTTGTATGTGTACATCTTTTATTTTCTTATTTTGCTTTATTGTAAATGGGGTGTCCAAACTTCAACATAAAGTGAAATTAATTAGTAAATGAATGAACAAGCAAATCTTTACTGATTTAGTCCTTACTAATTCCCCTGAGGAAGGTGTAAAGTGTGACCACTCACTCTCTAACATAAAACATATTTTCAAAACAGAGTCCAGCGATTGAACAGGCAAAATGCAAATAACCGAGACACGCTTCTGGCAGATATTTCCGCTTCACTGCTCAGAATTTCCAGAGTTTGACACTACAGGGCTGTTTTCATGGTCATCTGCTGAAGCACTATGCATCTAAAGTTGTGTACTATGAAGCATACAACAACAACAACAACCAAGAACTGACTGTTAAGTAAAGTAGGAGAATTCTACCCACAGTTATACATTTATTTTCATTATAATTAATATCACTCGAAGCAGAGTCTTTCTTTGTATTAATGGATCTTTAAATACTAATTACCTCATTTTTAAGAGCAAAAAAAAAACACAACAACCTGAACAGAAGTGGAAAACTACGCTCTTTCTGTTAGAAAAATGAAGCCGTGTACTGATTTACACCACAGAGCAGATTTACCTTCTCTATCTGTTTGGGAGTAGCCGTGGGAGCGCTGCCCATCTTCTCAGCCGTTTGCTCGGCGTCATCCGCCTCCTTGCAACGCTGCTCATAGGACTTTTTTGACTGGGGGGGAAACAAGAGAAACCACATGAAACCATAGTATAACACCCATGCTTTTGGGTGTCACTTACAGTTCTATGAACACTTGACAGGAAAAGGAAGATGAGGGGGGGCTACAGTCAGAAAGGAGATGTCATGCATTTGCACCAGGAGAAGCAAATAAGATCACTCACTTCCTTCCTCACAGTGGAGAAAAAGCGTCAGCTCTGGCTCCTACATGTATCTGTCAGACTACCACGAGCATTAATTTATTCGATGTTGTCCTAAATATAGAAGGCGATGTTCTTCTCTCAGATGCTTTCACAGTGAGACCCTGCTGCACCTCAGGTCATTTCTTTGCATTTGTATGCTGAAGCTTGCTGCACTAAACCTGTTGTTTCATTCTGCTACGTGCATATAATGAAATGGTCTGACCCACAAATCTCTGTCTGTCGTGATAATGCAAAAATGATCTTACTTCTGTTGTTTTCTTGTAGAGGGAGACTTTTGTTTTCTGGACCTTCTCCATGATGGCTTCAAACTAAGAGGCAAAGATGGCAATGTTAAAGCAGAAAGTCATAAGAAAACCACAGACAGACAGCTCCTCTTTCTGATTTCCTCTTTGTGCAAGGACAAAAAAAACAAACATTTCATGGGTACCTTTTTTCTCTGTTCTTTCTGTCGCTCTCTGAACTGCTCCATTCTCTTCACCTCCTCCTTTAGGAGCCCAGATAGCTGAATGTGCAAGTTTCCTGTGTTTTCAATTTCTGAAAAAAATCCCCAAAGCATATAAGCTAAAAAATGAAATGCCACACACAGAACTGGCAGGCCTTAAAGAACAAAACTTATGAAGGGAAATGTATGTTGTGCTTACGTGTTTTCATTTCATCAAATGAAGCTCTCAAAGTGCTGTGAAAACAAAGTGAACAAAGGACTCTTTTAGAAGATGCAAACATTGAACTCGTATTGACACTTGTTTGCACCCACATGCACACCTACCAGATCTCGTACAAGCCCCCGGCCTTTCGGGCTATTGTGATCAGTTCCTTTCCATATTTCTCCTCTGCTGATGCCCTGCGTTGACATTTACAAATGATAGAGTAGACTTAGGTATTAATGAGGTAACTTTATTAATACATGTACGATTTACAGGAAATCCGTGAGCCCACCTCATTTTCAACAGCTCCTCCATGTCTTTGCACGTCCGTCGGCCATCATTAAGTCTTTGAATGATGGCCTCATAGCCAGTGTTGCTGATGAAGTCCTCTCCCTGGAAGCATAAAGCAACAGATACCGTCAGAAATGAGCAAATCTCAAGATCGGATGTTAAATTTAAAAGACGACGCTGCTGTCGATCACCTTTAAACAATCGCTGATGATGAAGTTTTACTGACTGGTTTAGATTGTTTGTTTTTTTGTTTGTTTTCTAATGTTCCATTCAGAGGTATTGTGGCATCTCATCAACAGTAAAATGGAAACTGCTATGTTCTGAGTTCTCAATGGAAAATGAAAATGATAGAGTTACATTTGACATGTGAACATTGAAACCAGAACATTTTAAGAGGGATAGGGAAGCACAGAACTTCTGGTACGGTTCAGCTGATCGTCCACTGGCTGGTTCCTCCTGCTTCGCTTGAGGTCACGGTACAACAGTTTTAGTGGGTTGGCAGCTAGTTGACCTCTTGTCTGTTGCACAAACATGTTAAAATATACTCTGGACAGTTCTGAAAATGCGAAGTGAGTTGATCAGATGCACGAAAGAGAGATGCCAGCTGCCTGATTACCCTAAATGATGATGTAGAACACAATACCACCATTATGTGATTGTGGTGAGGTACTATTTTGGTGTTACATGCAATTGAAAAATGTTGTACTGAGAGATAACTGTTACGTTTGTGCGACATTTCTGGTTTTAGATAAACTAGAGAACACAAACACAACCTAAATTTTTTTTTTTTTTAAAGTTCTTGCTTATCAATACTTAAAGTAACAACTGAGTCAATTTCAAAATGCAACAACAACAACAAAAAGAACGAACAAAAAAACTGAAATCAAGGATTTTTTCCAACGCTCCAGTGAACATGCTGAACACACCACCAGTTTCACAGTTGAGCAAATCTCATGGTGAACCTCAGTAATAATCAGTAGGAAAAATGAAAACTTAGCAGCATTACACCAACTCACCCAAAAGGCATCTTTAAATTGCAATGTCATCTCTGCCGCGGTTAAAAAAAAGGAGCTCCCGTTAAGAGAATCAGCTTTAAATCACTTTTAAACCTCCCAGCAGCAGCGTAGCAGCCTGTTGCTTGGTGCGAGTGAAACGGATCATGACACATTCAGGAAGCGAACCCTCGCACAGCAAACTCTCACTCGCTCACTCATTTGATTTAAATGAGGAAGAGCTGCGACATGACAGCAGTTACAAAAAGCCAACTGACGTGAAATGACAGTTGACGCCATGCAAAAACGATTGTCCCACAAATGTCATGAAAACAAACTCCACAATTTATTTCCAGGTACAGGGCTGTTGGTTCGCATCAACAACATGTGATTTGTGAAGTTGTTTTTTGTTAAAATGTCCTTAAAAAGTTGTTACAATTGTACTTGCAGCATCATGTTTCTTCAGGAATTCCCCCAGAATATTATGCAAACCAGCGCCTTAGCTTAGCAACATGTACTATTTAGTAAGGCCTCTGATGTTCAGATTTTGCTGACACTCCTTTTAGATGACGATCCTTTACAAACATAATGCTGCAATGTGGGTTATTTAATATTGCAAATGATCACTGACGGATAAGATCTCTGACACAAGCGCCGTGACTCATTTCAAAACTACCTCAAGGGAAAAAAACTACATTACAACAAACAAGACAACAGTAAACAAAGAACATACAGCTATAACTCGTCGTGCGATACATGCAGCTGTCTGCCGTAGTCTGTCACTTCGCTGTTCATGAATGTTTCTTGATTTTTCAAAACTTCGGCCTGTGAGATCTTCCCGTCTCCATCGTGGTCCATTTCTTTGATGAGGTGAAGAGCCTGTTGATGAAAGTAGGAGAAAAGAAGTATCTCAATGGATATGCGTCCATACCATCTTGTAGAAACATCATCCTCTAATGTATTCATACCCTCCCATTAAAGAAGGAAAAAAAACAGCTGTCACTGAAATAAGTTGAAATTGACAAAAGTAATAATAAACAAAAATTTAATGAAAATCATCACATTGCTTTTGAATTTTGTTTCAACAGAAATATTAAAAGAAGAAAAAAAAAAAAAGCAAACAAGCATGATGGGACCCATAAACTAATATTTTGTTGAAACAACCCTTTAGGTCAATCGCTGCAATCAAGTGTTTTCTGTAACTCTGCACTTCTGCACCTGTTGACAGGTATTTTGACTTTGGCCCACTGCTCATCAGCAAAGTGCTCTAATTTGTCCAGGACAGTTTTTTTTTATTATTATTATTATTCTTTTCAATTGAATTTCCCTTCTGGGATAAATAAAGTATTTTTCACTTCATTCATTTAATTTTATTTCATTTCATTTCATTTCAACCACAATTCAAAAACAATGTCTTATTTCACTAAATTATAATTTAGCAAATTTTTATTTATTATTACGTTTTTCAGTTTCTAGTTATTTGAGTGACTATTGTGAGTTTTGCCTTAACGGAAGGGTATGAATACATTTGAGGACGACTGTATATTACGACAAAAAAGTAGCTAAAGGAGCATATTGTATGTGAAAACTTAAGAGTTCTGTGTTCTGTATGTAATAAAAATATAAACACAGCCCACATTTCATAAAACTCTATCTTTTTTTTTAACATAAGGGAATTGATCACTGTTGGATGGATGTCATAAAAGAACCAAGTACGTAAAATATTGGAAAAGATAACAGGCAGATGGAGAGTGCAGTCAAACACTAGAAATCACAAGTCAGCAATGAGTCACATATCTGAGACGCACAGACTTTATGAGGATGTTGATTCTGGTTGTGTCCCATTGTTCCTAAAAGGCTTGGTGACATTTTGGGTGACAGGATCAAAATATTCATGTTGCAGATCGTCTGTCGTACTATGCTGTTTGAGATAACTCCTCAGATTACAAATGGTGAATTTGCGGATGTTCAGGTGTGCAACTCTAACTGACATATCAGCATCCAGCAGGCCAACAGCACGCTCTTATCTTTGTCTTGTCGTCTGTGGCATCGAGTCAATTGAATAAAGCGTTTCAAAGTGTTTTAAAGTGGCCTTTTATAGTCACAGGTCAAAGTAGTGCCTGTGTGCTCGTCAGTCTATTTGTCATTTAGAGCTACACCTGACTGGATTGTTGATTAACTCAGCGGTTGAGAATTTGTCACCACAAGAACCCCTCGCAAGTGGTTTCATTTAAGCAATTTCTGAACTAAACAAATTAGATTTGTACTGGTAAAGACAGAAGATCATTTGCATGCTGTGTTAATATTTTTGTTCTGGGCACATGATGGAACAGCTGAGTCTTACTTCCTCTCTTGCTGAACCGTAGCTATTGGGTGCAACCCAGCGGAGCTGCTCCTCTCGGCCAAGCCTGCCATCCTTATCTTGATCGTAGAGTTCTTTGAATCGCACTGTTTCTTCAATCTCCCACTGTGACGGAGAATCCTCTGTTGAACGAAAAACACAATGTCAACGTTGCATAGATGGTAAAGATTAAACACAGCAGAGGAAACTAAAAGACAAAGACCTCATACTAAAATGTTTTTTTTCAGGGTAAGTATCACCATGCCATAATAATAAAGGTATTTAAGCTGTAAAAAAGAGAGCACATAGGAGTTTGGGGATTTTTGAGATCCCATCCAAAGGGTACCTCAAACAAGCTAATTGTAAATCCAGTTAGCACTTATACTCAAACATTTTTTTAGCCCCATTCAGGACTTTTGGGGTCATCAGGACCCCAGGCCATTTGGTTTAGGTGACAGGTGTTGTTTTTTTTTTATTTTTGAATTTTTTTTATTTTTTATTTTAAAAAAGAAGGACATTTGTCTTGCATTTGGCACCAAAAATACGTCAACTTATCAGAACATTTATTCAACATAGTATAAAAGTCTATAATGAATATCAACAAATATTTTGCACAGATTCCTTCTTGGTGTCCAATGGACCCCGAAAGACCTCCTACGTAACATGAAAGTCCTGAAAAGGGTTGAGCTGGTTATGTTGTACGATAATCGCTGTGGTCTTACCTTCCCCACGAACATCTCCAATAAATTCACTTAGCGTGATGAATCCATCTTTATCAGTATCATATTCACTCAGTACATCTTCAATGGCAAAGTCCTGTTAGAAAAATCAATCAATTTTAACATGACATACAAAGTGCGCTCTTATAATACGGATAAATACATGATCATATTATTGTTGCAGGAAATGTGTCTTACAGCCATGTGATCCACTTCAGAAGGATGTGTGAAGGCGAGAAACTCTGTCACGTTCAGGCCAGGTGTACCGTCCACATCAGCGAAATCAAAGCGCCTCCTCTCCTTCAGGTGGAGCTAACAGAGATATGAGCCGTGTTAGAGAAATATGAATTTGTGGCATCATGTTGTAACAAGACAGCTACTATATGCTTACATGTCTGAGAGACTCCTGCTCCGGATCCTCCAGAACAGCGTCGTCATCAAACCTAAAAAGCTGGTCATGAGCGACTGTGTTGTATTCCTCCCACGTTACAACACCGTCTTTGTCAACGTCAAACTCGGGGAACCGCTCCCCTGCATCATCCAGAGCGTATCTTCTGTAGACCTGCTGAATCCACAGGGTGATCTCCTCTGTGGATTAAACAGACAGCAGGCTGAGCTCGGCCTTTCCTTTATTTCATCTTAGCTTTCTTTCCAGAAACATAAAGTTACCTGCACTGAGAAGACTATCACCATTCGTATCAATCTTCTTCACAATTTCCATCATCTTCCTCTTCTGATCTGCTGGGCTGAGCTTCTTCAGCTCCTCAGTGGTCTAGAAATGCATGAAAAGAAGTGGGGCAAAGAGTGAGTAAGAAAGAGTGAAACAGATGGAGAGTGAGAGAAAACAAACATGAAGCAACCTCATCTCCCAGCAGAACATTCATGTCGTGTTCAGGGTTGTGCTGCTGGCCGATGTAATGATCCTCATGGAGATGTTTGTGGGAGTTTTGTCCAAGACCAAAGTGAAGCAACAGCAAGACCAGCAATGATGTGGATTCCATCTGTTGGGTAATAATAATAATAATAATTAAGAGCAAAGAGTTGAAAACACAACAAACAGACCTGACAAAATGCAACTGTGCAGCCTGGTGGTCAGCTGGTGGAAAACCACAGCAGAAACCTGTGAAACCTAACGTGAGCTTTTTAAAATGACGAGTGACTGCACAGAAGGGCAAAAGGCAAAGTGGGAGTATAGGAAGTTGCTGAAATGTTAATTAATTACTGTTTATTTGTTGGAGAGACAGAGAGTGAATTAGAGGCTTACATGAGTTGAGAAAAAACTAACAGCATTAGTTAAAGCAAATGAACAAAGTTAAAGACAACACAAACAAGCCAGCTGTAACAGAACCGTGACAAAGCTAACAAATTAAGTAAATAGAGGGGGTTGATGGCTTTACCGTGCAAAGTTCTTCCTGCAAGTCTTTACACCCGCGTCAAGTGCCCTGATGGAGGAATGTACTTCTGGTCGGAAATTTCAAAATAAAAGTTTTAGTGCTTATCAGCGGAATGCACTATATAATGGTTTTGTATGCACAAAGACTTCCCTTGTCTTGTATTGACGACACGGGACATGTGAGTGATGACAGAGTTTACCGAAACAATAGTTTAATAGTGTATCTGAGAAATTAACTGTACTGGTGCATGGGTGTCCGTGTCATCTAAAAAAATAGTTCATTTGCCAAATATGTTACTGGGTTCAAGGCTGGAGAAGCTTTCACTCGTTTAAATATTTAGTGTGAAGGTTTCAGCTTGATGACCTGAATTAGAATATCATTTCTGAGTGGACGAGCACAGAAGCAATAAACGGTAACAGACTGAGAAATGATATTTTTAAAAATCTGGTATATTGAAGAAGGAATTTGTGTCAGCTTAATGTTTTGTGCAGTTGACCACTATAATTGTCCTTACAATCAATTAATTAGTCACTATTGTTGTAGTTTCATTTATCTATTTTCATATTGCGATTTATCAAAGCACCACCGGGATCAATGTGTGTGAATGAATGATTGACAATTGATTGTATGCACTTTGAGTTACTCCTTGAGTAAGAAAAGCGCTATATAAATCTAATCTATTATTATTATTATTATTATTATTATTATTACTTCAATTACCTAGGTTCATTCTATTTTTATATATGCACTGTTTATGCTGTTGTTATTACTTATATTGTACACATCTTAGCACATTCAGACTGTTCCGAAAACTACTTTTACTCCACTTTTACACTGCACTGCACTTTTAATGCTTCTTTTGCACTTCTTGTGCTCACATTGGCAATTAAAAACAAATGTTGACTTTCTACTTGTCTCCTAATAAATATGAGCATACCATATGATTCTTGGCTTTCCTTGTAGAAAATCTTTAATTTGTGGCAAAATTGTTGTCTTACACAAACTTTCTCAATCAAAATTTTGCAGCCCTTTAACCGAGACATGGTAAGTTTTTTTATACATATATACAAATCTAGAGACAAGATGGATTTAATAGGAGTTTAAATCTGCTTATGAGGGTAGTTATAGTTGGCTCAGGCCTTAGATCCTAATGTATAATGTTCCACAAGTGTCTTTTATATAGCTTCATATTACTTATTGAATAGGAAGCAAACTATTTCCATGACATCACAGAGAGCTACAGTTTCATATTAATAATGTATTTTGGGGGTAAGCCATTTAAAGCATAAGAGAAATCTGACCTGAGCTTGCAGTGGCTCTTAATGTAGTTACAGCACAAAAAAAAGCCTAAGCTAGAGTAACAGCAATGCTGAGCACAGATACAATGTAAATACATGACTATGTATACAGGGAAGGAAAATAGAGACATTGATAACAAATAGAGCAAGAAAATGACATACTAATGAGGAAGAATGTGTTGTACTCTTTTTAAGTGTGTTTTTATGCTTGGTGTAGCTATCTTTTATCAATTTAAAAATGGTCACGTCTAAATGTTTTTTATTTCCAATGCAGGTTGCTCTTTGTTACCGCCTTCCTGCTGTTTGAAGGCAACTTTACAGATTCTGTTAAATCAACCTAACATCCACCATCGTCCCGCCCGATCTTCGTCGTTGCCATGGTAGACAATTTTTAGGCCCGCCCAAGAGAATTTGGTCCCACCCTTTAACCTAAATTATCCAGCGTTTGATTGGCTGGCGCGTACATTGTGTCCACGTTCCTGCGAATTCATTGGACAATCCCGACGCCGGTCAAACGTGTGTGCTCAACAGACTTCCTGCTTTTTGTTAGGTTGTCCTTGCTGTCATGTATTTATCTGACATGTTTTTCCATCAGCTCTGACAACAAGACAACTTTGTCCGCATACTTTAATTTCACACCGACTAAGCGTTGAATACAGCGGCGGGTCGATGTCCAAAGACAACCGCCATGATGGACGACGGCGTGGTGCTGGGCAGCACCGTCTCGGCCCGAGAGTCAGCCAAGGAGGGGACGGGAGGGAGAGGTCTGGTAGCAACAGCTCAGGCTCCTCGCATGGAGGAGGCAAAAGCAAAAATGCGTCCATAACCGCTTTGAAGGTATGTGCTGAGCGGTAGCTCGGTGCTAATGCGTGAAATATTGCAGTTAATACAACCAGGTACACAAATTGCGATGCATTTTTGGCTAGGCCGAGCTAAATAAATAGATAATTGAGTCTGGGGGTGGGTTAGCTAGCAGTTCTTGCCGGAAAGGAGCCTTTTTAGGTGACCTTACCTGGGGTGTAGTCAGTTCTTGTGAGTCTCCTTGGACTCATGTATTTTAACCAATAGATGTACGATTTATGAGAAGATGCTATTCAGTGATGAGATTTTTATGTATATATGTATTGTCATATCATCATTAAAGCCAACATGTGACAGGAGATGGGGTGTTATGTGTAGTAACATGGGAGGATTTGGGAACAAGTGTGCATCAAAGCATCCTGCTGTCCTGGTTTACCCCAGCTTCTCCTTGCACGCTTTCTAAGACTGTACTATTTCTATTCAGTGAAACCATGTGGGTTTCTGTGCCTCGTCTCCCAGCAGCCTATGAATCACTGAATGCCGAGTCCAATCAGATCCAGAGCATCCCTCTGTGTGGCTATAGCATTGTGGTAGCGCACGCTGTCTCTGACCCTGCAGCTACACTCCCATCACTGGCAGTGCAGGATGGGGGGCAGAGAGGCAGTGCCTGGTGTGTGCACATGACTGCGCAGTGTTGTGGCAGAAGGAGAGTGAGAGATGAGAAACGGAGAGAGAGAGTGGGGGCTCTGATGCAGAGCAGGGAGAGTAGAGAAGAAGAGAAGCTGTAAATATAGGGAGCTGCACGCAGTGGCAGGCAGATAGGCAGCAGCAGGCATTGAGTCGGGCCTAAGAAGTGGCTGCTAACTCAGCAAAGTGCTGAGAGCTCAGGCTAGATTACAGGCAGAGTTACAGATAGAATAGTCAAAGTGAAAGGGTGGACTGGTGGGCTATTGAGCACTTGTCTCTCTCAGTCGGCACTGGGAGAGGAGTTGACACAGCTGGGCAAGTTGCTATAGCAGTGCGGACTACACAGTAGGAGTCTATTTTGGTCCTGCTGTCAGATGACGATGTCACCTTGCACAAGTGGCAACGCTGGTGAGGGGGAACAGGTTGCCTGAAGTGGGCTGCTAAGTATGTCAGGAGTGGATAAAGACGAGGAACCTGCTTACAGACTGTACTTCTACTCTGTATGTATCCTCTAATATTCTAGTTCACGCTGTCTTTCCTTAATGAGCTAGTTCTCCCCCACTGTCTTTGCTACTTGCATCTGTTTGTGGACCTTGCCAAAAGGGAAACCGTACACTTGCCTCTTACTCAGCACAGTCTAGAAAATAAACGTGCTCTCCAGTGCATGGGGAACGACTACATGGCAAAAGAAGATAGGCAGAAGTTATGTTCCACAGTATTCTCCTGTAGTGCAGCCCAGGAGACAGCTTGTTTGCAGCTGATTAAGTGGATCAAGAGAATGTTGCTGTAAGCCTTTTTTGCCTCAGGCTGCTTCACACAGATAGCCATCAGTTGTGAGTCGGTAAGGTATTCTCGAAACACTTGTCTTGTCATCCAGTGGCGGCCAAACATAGGAAATACAGTGTAAACATTTGCTTAAGGTTATGGTGCATTGATGCTGACTTACCTCCGTGGTTCTTGCTCATTCCGGCCGGCCTGCGTTGCTTGATGTTCTTTTTATCTCTCTGTAGTCTTTTCTGCTGGCAGAATAAAGCCCGGACCACTTGACATGTAAAGAATTTTGCTCACCAAAAGTAGGTCAGCTGGGTATCTCCCTGAGGGACATTAAATAGTAGCGGACTAATACACGCATGATGTTTCTGCATGTGTAATGCCTAATTAGTAATGTTCACATTATTCTATTAGCCTTCAAATAAAAATACTATTTATTTTTTTAATAAAGCTGTGCCTAACTAACTATGATTGTTTGCTCATGCTGAAAAAAAAAAAACATTACATCTCTCATCTTTTCAGTTGCAAGGGTGGCAGAAGAATCATTTTGCTCTCGCTTTCTTCTTGTCAATATAGTGGTGCTAGTGAGAGCCAGGAAAAGAGAGGAACGGTTTGTTCCATGACTCATTTTCTATTAGGAGGAGAACTGGCTCTCAATTTTTAGGTTGGTTTTTGAGTAGCAATGTATTTTAAGTCTAAAGCTACATTTTATAGCTGTCCAAAACAGCCAAGATTGGTCTAGATTTTAGTCAACATTAGATTAAATCATTTATGGAGAGTGCAGCAGTGGTACAGGCTGTTCTGCTGAGAGGTAGAACAAAGTCAGTGGAAGATCCCGAATGATTAGGCTTTGCTTTTGTTTACTTTGTAACCAGATTGCCAGAAGTTGGAATATTTAGTTATTAAGGAGATTAAAAAGGCAAATCATACAAAAGAGACTACCTTTGTTCACTGCAGTGTAAAATAGAGCTGTTATTTCTTGTTGTTTAGCAGATTGTCTTGATGCAATAATACATGAGGTGTGAGATGGTGAAGCAGAAAGATGCTGATGCGTTGTTTCATCACAGGGCATCTTCATGTCCCATATGTGAACGGGGCAACGGATGACATCTCGCAGCATGTATTTTGGTTCGCAGTATCTACATCACCCGAGGTCTTAGTCAAGTTCACTGATGCATATTCAATGTGTAGGTCAACCATGATGCATGCTGGGCACGGAGTGGGTTTCGAGTTTCTGCCTCTAGCTGTCTCTTGTCACAGTGTGTGCCAGCGGACCGCTTGCATACACTTGGAACAGCAGAGTTGTGGCGTCAAATCAGGCTCACAAACACACACTAGGAATGGGACAATAATTTAGTTATCGTCCCATTCCTAGTGTGTGTTGCAATGTGCTCTTTCAGATGAAGGATTATGGGTTGAATATAGTCAGTGAACCGAGTGTTTATTCATTTTGAACTTTCTGTTCAACTTGTTTTGCATATATTTGGTGCATCCTCCTTTTACTACAAACATTAAATAGATTTGCATGTAGTCTGTTTTACATGCAAGTCTTAAATGAACTACATGCACTTTAAAAAAAGAAAACAACATAATGCACTGAATGATATAGCATACAGATTTCCTTGTTTTTTGCCATTGTTTCAGAGCTATGAAAGCACACTTTACTGCTGTGCACTGTATTTTATTTTAACTACTGTACAAAATCAGTGAGCAAAGTCTATTAAAATGAAGGTAGCCATAGCAACAGGACTCATGCTTCAGGCTGCGTTACTGGAAAACACACTCATAAAACTATATGGGTTAAAAAAAAATAAGGCTGGCAACAGTCAGTGTTTTTGTTGTTGTCCAGAATATTGTCCCATTTGTTCCTACTGAAGACGAGAGGCCTTTAAAAATGGGTCATAAGTATACAGTTTGATTTTTGGAAAACATGCAAAGTAATTAAAACCTTTTTGGGGCACCGTTTTTTGTAAACATTACTCATACAAGAGTTAATAGAGTATTTGTCAGGGAATATTTCCATCTCTGGAGCCAGTAAATGTTAACTGCAGTAATTCACTCAAAATAGAATGCAGTCGTCATGTTCTGTATTTTCCTGTTTTGTCATTTCTTTTTGACGACATTGGGACACGAAACATGGGTATAAGCTACAGTTAGCTCTGGCTACATGGATAGCACTTGTTAAACTTGAAACTGACAACAAGCACACTTTGGATGATTATTTATTCAGTAGCCTGCTTTCTTTTATTATATGTTATGATAGAACAAGCTCCATAAGACGTTCCAGGGATTCATAACCTGGAAAGTGATGAACTTAGTGAAAACAAAAAGCCTTTCAGCTTTGTGTCTGTTATTCCACTAATAATTGGATTGTTTTGTAAATGTCAAGGCACCTTGTGCTTATACCACAATAAGGGCCTTATCTTGCTTAGAACTGGCCTGATGATGGGTTCTCAACACTAGTTAGATAGGCTGAGGTGACTGTGTATGACAATAAGAATGATTGGTCTGCCTACAGTAAAGGCAATGGGTCTGGGTTTCTGTTATTTCTGACCATTTGACTAACAAAAATGTCTATTATGCTTCAGTGCTTATCATTTTGGTGCTGCTGAAACTTCTTTCAGGGGCCTAAAAATTCCAGGAAAACCCTTTCTCAGATTCTCAGAATTGCCTAATATGATACTAGCTTTGTCTCTGAGAGACATTGTTATATCATATTGGAGGTCCTCTTATGAATCACAACTACATTATTTGTCAGTTTAATACTTTACACTGTCTTCCATTAGCTCTAGGACAAAGCCGAAAAGAAAATCCGACTAAATTTGATGTGTTAAATCTTCCACCTCTCTCGCAGGCCTCTTTCCAGCGTTCCAACAGCCATGACAAAGTGCGAAAGATAGTCGCTGAAGAGGGCCGTGCTGCTCGAAACCTCATTGCCTGGAGTGTACCTCTAGAGAACAAAGAGGAGGAAGGTTAGTAGCTGCATGCAAAACAAACTTGCTATTCATGCTAATATTCTTATTATGCTGCAGGGGTTGCTGCCTATGTTTAATTTAAATGTGATAGCAGTATCTGAGGGCCAGTGAAAGATGTTTAGTTATTTATTTGGAGCATCACAGTGACGGCCTATGGCAATGTCATTCAGAGGCTGTGATCTTACTCATCAAAAATGCTGGTAACTGTAATACAATATCAGCTGGAGCCCAATGATCATTTTTCATCTGAAGGCTCAGCTGATAAATGACATTGAAGTGCTCAGAATCTTTTAAGCAGACTGGAGTTCAAACCTGACCACTGGTCTTCTGACATAGGACATGTCAGATGTAAAGTTTTCGCTTGTAGAGATCACTGTGCGATGCTGTACAATGGTTTTCTTTGTATGGTCAATAGGATGATATGTAATAAGTTTCCAGTAGTTTTTACAGCCCCTGTTTGTGATGTATATTTTAAAATCCTGCTTCCTCTAAATGGAGAGCTCTGATAAGATGGTAACTTTCTGCTTGACAAAAAAAAGGAAAGTGTATGAAATGGAGCTGCCCCTCCAGTGTATCTAGGTTTTATTTTAAAGCAGGCTGTCTTTACACCAGCCTACTGAGAAACTCCCACCACTGCCTCTCTTGCTTTCTCACTCTGGCTCTCCTCCTTCTTTGTGGGTCAGTCCAGTTATTTATTCAAGGCTTCTTTTCTGCTCTTGAGTTTAAGGATGAATTAAGCTGCTTTGCAGTATTGCAGCATAAGGTCTCATACATTTTATTCTTTTTACAAGATGCATCTTTCACAGCTGAATAATCAGTCATTTACGTTTAAATGGTTATGTTTTTATTCCCATCTTTGCTATTGTATATTTGTGACATTCAGATCAATCATTGATTGTTGACTCATCTTAGTTGAGGCTTTGATTGTTTTATTTAATCAGTAAGTAAATATAAGCCTCTTTTCTTCTTCTCTACATAGCAAAGTCCAAAGGCAACTCCAGTGGCAATTCCAGGTCTCAGAGGATCAATTCTGGACAACAAAGGAATAAAAAACAGGTTAGAATATCATTTTCTCCCACTAGAGGGCACTGCTCACCAACCTATTTCACTTCTTTCTTTCTGGCTCACACTTCTCTTCCTGCTAGTGTGTCTGTGATGGTCATGTAACTCTCAGGTTTTATATTATGTAAGTCCGTCCAGGAAAGTTCAATATAAAAAAGGGGGGGAAAAAATGAAACTATGCTCGTCAGCAGTTTTGTGTAAAGTGCCCAAATAGTTCATTTCTGGCCCCTTATTTCAAACCACTTCTCTTACAGGGTTCTACAGTAAAAGCTTTAAACTGCAACTGAACTGTATAGTGTGTGAATGGGACAAATTATTTAGGCACACTGTTTGTGTGTGAGTAATTGAATTTAAACTCTTCCTTACAAAGACTGGTGTACAAAGCATTCAAGTAAAGGCTTCCCACTCACAGTCATCTGTTACTAACAAATGTTAATTCCATTATGTAACTCGATGACAGGCCGATATGAAGCTTTGCTGGCTTGTGATGTACAAGAAGCAACACTCTCGCGGAGTGTTTTTGCAATTCCAACAACTCCAATGTGTTTCCTTTTGTAAAGCCATTAGCTCACACTACTGTTTCCGAAATCTAAATCCCTCCACTAACATTTTTATTAATGCCAGATCAATATAAATAAAAACTTTTAGCTCTGACTCAAGACTTTGGAGCAAGTAAGTATTTGAAATCATGTGTGTCAAAGTCAGTCGGCTGCTGTTATTTCAATGTCTTCATACATACATTTATTCAACCTTTGATATTTGCCATGCAGTTATATTTTACAATGACTACAGAACATTAAAAACTTATTAGAGGATGGACTAAGTTAATTCTCATCGCAATTTTAGGTTGTGATTACAATTGCAGTAGCTTTTAGATTTTCAACACTAAACAAAAATGGATTCACTGAGAGGTTTGAAACCGTAACTTCAAATTCATAGATTCTATGTTGTTTTAAAAGTGGTGCATTAATCAAGCACTGGGCTTTTCTGACCTGTTTTTGGACGGTTCATCCAGTGTTTCAAATATCTTTGCACAATATCAGCTGACTAGTCATCTGTTACTACTTTTCGCTCGTGTCTATATGTACTAAATATGTGTGTTTCATGTCAGATGTTTACTGTGTAAAAAAAAAAAAAGAAAAAATAGATGCAATTGTTTTGATTGTTATTTGCACCATAGTTTTCATCATTGGACCTTACTTTTTTCTTTTTTTAAATAATATAGATAATAATGCACATACATTTAATAATTCGTAATCTGATTAAAAAAAAAAAAAAAAAAGCTGAGTACTAATGGTTACAAGGTCCTCAAAATAATCATGCAGTTATCTGTCATAGTAGACTTATATGCATTATGGGTAGTATAACATATATGATAGCTGCACCTCGTATCCCAGAAAATGGAAAAAAAAATGGCTATAATAGCTGTATATAAAGAATTAAAGAGTTACATGAAGCTTTGATAAGTTTGGCATTGTTACCATAATGTTTGGTCCTTTCTCTGTCTCTACAGAATGCTGGTGTGGAAAGTAAAGGAACAGCCGGAGCCTTGTTGGACAAGGGGCCAGAGAAGAGCCCCACCAAAGCCAGGCAGCCCCGCAAGGTGGACCTGCGAGCTCGTTACTGGGCCTTCCTGTTTGACAACCTGCGCCGGGCGGTGGACGAGATTTACGTCACTTGTGAATCTGATCAGAGCGTCTTAGAATGCAAGGTTAGTCTGCTCAACAATGCCACGGTTAGAAATGCTAGTTCTAGCTGCTGGATCTTTGGGTTCATGTTCTGAATAGTGCAAATCTCTCAGGGTAGACTGAAAGGTCATATGATTTATGAACACTAGAGGGAGACAAGGAGAGCCTAATAAAAATTTTTCCTCACAGCTCACACACTGATTTCTGCTTTATGTCAGAGGGGCTTTCTGAAGGCTTGTTGATGCTGTAATTATCACAGGGCTCTCCCTCTCTCAGGGCTTACTGGAATGAATATTGATGAATGACTGTCAACAAAAGTCGTTAAAAACTATTTGGCGTCTCACCTCAGTCTTTGTCTACTTCTTGCAAACAAAATTAACAACATCTTTGGCATGTTTTTTTTGTTTGTTTTGTTTTGTGGAAGTGTGGGTTTCAGTTTCGTACAGATTTGGCATGGCACTGCAACATTGCTGCAGGGCATCCTGGTCTTTTATTGATTCCTCTGCCATGCTGCATTATGCTGAGCATGGTTCTGGCCATGGTCTGCGGTCAGTACCGTAGCCCAGTTCCCTGTGGTGTGGTCGGCTTGCTGTCACTGCCACAGCGCAGCTCCCTGTGGTGTAATAACCATGTTGTCAGTTGTCTTGTGTCAGACAACAGGCTGCTAGGTGTTTCTTTCCCCCCCTCTCTCTCATAATACTGTATCTCTCTACACTCTAATGCTGTCTAATGGCCATGAAGCTGGGTGCTGTTCATAATCCCCCTTCCCACCCAGCTCGGGCTTAATGGACACTGATAGATGATGGAGTCATCTGGAGGGGAAGCAGAGTGCTCTGATAGCCCCAACCGCAATCCCCCAGTGTGGCTGTGGGCAGTCTGCATTGTGTGCTCTCACACAAACAGCCCACCATTTTCCACCTAAAAACTTATGAACATAATCATCATCAGGAAGTGATGCCTAATTCTCTGCCAGGGCTACATTACTGTAATTCTTCATGTAATTTTGAATGAGAACCTTAGTGCTGACCTAATATAATATGTTTTCCTGCTCAAAGGGAAATTTTTCACACAGCAGAGTGATTCATATATGCTTATTAATAATGCCTACACCTCCTTAACCTGCAGGCCCCAGGCATAATTACTTCCCATCAACAGTTTCTTCATCCCGTTTTTGGATTTATTACTCGTATCACCCAGAGGAGGCAAGAGAGATACTCAACATTCCTGTTTGCTTGAGGGGGAGCTCAAGTTCAGAATTTGTTGTTTTAATACGTATGAAAATTTACAAGTGAACTGAAACTATTTTGGTCTTAAATGTTAAAATAGGATAGAAAGTAATGACAACTGTAAATAATTTACTTGAGGTCAATAACTCTGACCTTGGTTTGTGCTTCAGTGTGTGGATCACAGGCTTTTACTGCACACCTTAGCTTACGGCAATGTCTCTTGGAGGTTAAACATTCATCGGTCATTTCTCCTGAGATGTTATGTCAGGGTTATATTTGGGTAAGTGTGTCTGTTAACATGCTGAAAGTCACTTTATGGAGCTTTCACTCACTGTTGGTTTATCTGTCAGAGGCGTAGCAACCCTCTCTCCATCTCGGCCTTCATTACCAAATGAACACTGGGCCATGGCGGTGGACTCGGGCAGTTAACCAGCCCTAATCAGCAGACCTGCTGCTGGACACATCTTTCACTGGCCTGACTTGTCTATTACCTAAAAGCACTGTGAAGCTTTACTCTCAATTACCACTCCCTTCACGCTCTCCATCAATCAGTTGTGTCTGTTTCATTAGAGCTCTGGGGGAAAAAAGCTCCACACAGCCGTCCACCTCTGGACAACCAACTGTGACTCAGTCCAGATAATAGGCATTTGTTGTAATGAATTAGCCCCTTTTATTCTTCCTCACAGCATTCAGTCAAGCGTTTCTCTTTACACTTTTTAAGAATGTGCACATCAGCTCCTGGTTTTCAGTAAAATTCTTGATCTTTGTAAAATCTCTTTTGTATTTTCAGTTACAATTGATCAAACTAATTTTGAGATGTTGGTGGGAAACATATGGGTTTTTTTTTCTATCTGATTCCTGAAATATTTACCAGAAACAGTCCTTAAGTGGAAAACACTGGGGCTACACAGGCCTTAAATAATTTATTATCTGTATCACTGAATTATCAGCGCATTTTTGTCAATTGTCTGTGAAGAATCAGAAAAGAGAGGGAGGGGAAAAAACATAATTTTACAAAAACCAAGATGACAGATTGAAATATCTTCATTTAGTCCCAGTCAATAACTTGAAGATATTCACTATACTAGCATATATGTAGCAGGTGGAACAAGTGGATGTGTTGTCTTTGCTTACAAAATGACTTATAGATTAATTGATGATGGATATATTAAGTAAACCTTTTACTTTAAACAGTCACAGTTAATACACTACCTCTTTTGCTTTGTGGTTTGACTGTTGAAGTGTTTCTTTAATTTTCTGGCACGGTAATGGAAATTGTCGTGGTCTTTTCTTTCATATGAAACATAGTTTACTTGTTCTGACACTGAGTGACGCATGCAAATTATTTCATTTAAACTTCCTAATGGTTTGTAAATTCTTCAACTCTTAATAGTTGTGTTTATATCAGTTGGGAAATAATCTCAATCTTTTTGTGACTTCTATCTTTAGGAAGTGCTGATGATGCTGGACAACTACGTACGGGATTTCAAAGCTCTCATAGACTGGATCCAGCTTCAGGAGAAGTTGGAGAAAACAGATGCCCAGAACAGGTGATCCTCTCTTTCTCACTTGTCTTCCTTTGTCTCTCGTTCACTCACCATTTTGAATTGCTCCCTACGGTGAAACTGGAAGTGCCGGTGTCTGGTCCCTGGCTTTGAGTCACAAACACAATGAATCAATAGCCTTGGCTTTATTTCAAAGAGATCCATGAGTTTATTGGCTTCTCTTTAACACAGTGACCACTGCAGCCGTAAATTGACTAAGAAATAAAATTCCCAGTGCCACCTCCCAATTTGTTCATTTAAAGTGTACTGTTAATCAATAAGACAACCTGAAACTTTTACATGCTCCATTTATTGCATACATTGCTACAAGTGAATCAGCCAACCGACTGATTTGCCAAAAGTGTGAGTCAAGTCTGTGTGCGTGTGTGTTTGGCCAACTAGGAATTGTAATTAGTTTTAGTGTTTTAGTAATATATGCCCGTTTCCCTTTGTTCAGGCCCACGTCTTTAGCCTGGGAGGTGCGTAAGATGTCTCCGGGACGTCATGTGATGCCAAGCCCCACAGCAGACAGAATGGTGCCATCTCCAGGTGCACGTCGTACCCTCAACTTTGGGTAAGCTCTGTGTCTCGTTGTTTGAAGTCAAACCCCCGTTTAGTTCATTGTGTTCTGTCTTCATTAGGTATTTGATTTGGTAGTAAAAGCTAGACTGACATGGTATCATAAGGCATCCTGTTATTCACCAATCAATATTTGTAATGATGCACTATGCCTGTTTTTGAAGAGGTTAGAAAGTGCAGACTATGATATCTAGCGAGATAGCCAGTGATTGCTGATGGTGAAGCATTTGTTTAATGCAATTTGTTGAGTCTCTCACTCTCAGGCCGCAGAATCAGTGGAAGGTGTAGATGAAAGTGTCAGTTAAAGACTGCTGAAGCATCGGTTCAATATGTGCACTGCTCTGTAATCTGATGCTGCAGGAAATGGATATTGATCATGACGAAGGCCTGTTGTCCAGTACTGTTCCATGCTATCTCTGAGTGGAGCTTACAAGAATAGGTTAGATAGACGCTGTCTTTAGATCACTCAAGTGTTCCAGAGAAGCAACACACTCAGAGCTGCTCAGAGATGGATTTTAATAAAACTGAAAATTCAACCTGCATGTGGCTTGCAGGTGCACATGTTTGTTGTCATGCATGATCTGTGTGTGTGTCTTAATCAGCGGTCCTCCATCAACACTGGCTGGAGCCCGACTCTCCCACACAGGCCCCAGCTGGGCAGACCGAGTGAAGTGCACTCAGTCCGTCCAAAGCTCTAACCATCTGACCACTTCCCCGGCAGAAAAGCCTGGTAAGAATCTGCATTTAAAAGCCCATTCAGATTGTACTAGAAGTAATGTGGTGTTATCTTCTCCTAGATTTACTGAGTGCCTCATGTGTTTCCAGGTAAAAAGGATGCGGAAGGCTGGGAGACCGTACAGCGAGGGCGCACTGCCAAACCACGCTCTGCCGCTATTGCCAAGGTCAGCCCTGTCTTGGCTCATGTCGCCCCAAAACAGGACAGTGGCAAGAGTAACCAATCACATCTGCCGCCAAAGGAAGAACGACAACCTCGACCTGAGTGTCCTCCGGACAAGGTCGTGACCCAGATGGACACTAAACAGCAAGTCCCAGTGGAGCCGGACTCCTTGGAGGAGGTTGAGCGTCCAGAGAACGGGCACATAATGGAGGTAGTACAGCTCAGTACCCTGTGACGTCTTTCTGCCCGACCAGTCCCCGGATATCAATTATTCACGGGGAGCAGTGTAACATTAGACCATTTTATCAGCCACATTTGTTTTTGTTTTGGGCTCCATGGTATTCATTGACAGACTAGCCAGACAAGAATATCAACTTTGAAGCGATTGATTGTACGCTGACATTTCAGAGGCAGAAAGACCCATTTTCACTGTCATGAAATAAATACTCTGACAATGCATCAAGACACACTTGGTAAGAGTGTGTTACAACCATTGGTTGATTTAGAAATACAAATCTGTATTTCCAAGCTGTCTTCTTAGTTTGATTACAGCTGGATGTTTAGGGCATGTCAGTACCAGCTTCCCTGCATGATTTGTGTTTTTAGCTGTGTCTTGAGTATTGACTGGTTTGATTTTTGTTTTGTTTTTTGTAATTATTGCTCTCATGAACTGCTTGAAATACGCATGTCTTTAATTAAGTTTGCGTGTGTTTGTGTGTGACTGTCGGTGCAGCCCCCAGCAGAGAGTGTACAAGACTCGGGGCAGTGTGTCGACGCACCCTCTGAAGACGCGCCTCCCCCCATAGCAGCTCTTGCACCTTCACAAGCCCCAGAGCAGAATCCAGCCACAGCCACAGCCACAACCACAGCCACAGCCACAACCACAGTCCCACCACCAGACATTACTTTATCAGAACCACTCCCTGCCCCTTCCCCAGTCCCAGTCCCGGCTTTGACCCTCACCACATCCCCAGATCTACCCCAGACGGATGGGCTCAGTACACTGTTGGCCTTTGGGGACAGTGGGGCTGAGGGGGGCGCGTCACAGGGCATGGCCACATCTGCTCCAGGACAGGCTGAGACTCCCATGGCAGCGGTGAAACTGGAGAGTGTGCTGGACCCCACAGAGCTTTCTACTGTGAGTGCTGAGAGATGGAGGAGCAGAGGGAGGGGAGGGCTGGGAGGGCAAGGATCCCCAGGGGTCCTTCACCGCCTAAACAAAGTCAGTCTTAAGAAACCTCCAGACCAAATGTGCAGGCAGGACCACATAGCACTTTTTAGTGTTGTTATAGCACCGCTCGCTGTTAAGAATAGCTGTGAGTAGATGGCCTTTGAACTCTCAGGTTGTCGCCCAAAAGTAATCTCTCAACTCAGATTAGTCATATTGGTCAATTTTACAGTTCTGTGCCAAAAAATGCTGCAGAAACAGGACTTTACAATTTGTATTTAACCTAGTGTCAAATCTTTAGTGAAGGTTGTTTCTACCATAAAGCGTTCTGAAGTATTTAAACACAAAGCCCCATACAATTATGAAAATAAATCTCATGTTAGAGTTTCAGGTGGTGAATGAAGTCATGTGAGGAGGACGAAACATCCACTCAAATCTGCAGTGAAGGATATATGGTCTTATTGTTTACACCAGTCTAGTACTGTCCAGGCCAAACTGTTCAACCTACTCGCATACCACATGTAGATGACAAATACTTTCGAGAAGAGAAGGCTCTTCCTTACTTACCTCTGCAGCTGATTTAGAGTACTTTCTGCCCTGGATTAATCTGTACGGCATTCTCTTATTATTGTCATGTCATGAAAAATACAAAAATTCCCCAAATACTTAAAACTTGTGAGTAAACCGCCAGTTTTCAAAAAGCAGAGTTGCCTCCTTCCACCATCTCTTCATCCTCACTGTTCATGTGCCCTGCATGACTTTTGGATGCTTCCTCACTCGTGATACTTGTGATGATTGTGTGGTACAAACTGTGATTGGGTTGATATGGTATTCCCCTGAGTCTTTGCTTCTTGCACTCATGTACAAATCAGAGCAACTGTACAGAAGCTAAAGTGCTCACGTAAAATTATTTTCAATCAAGTAGATAGAGGTTTCCTTGTTTTGTTTAAAATATTTCCTAATATTAGAAATCTTAAACACCTGCACTATCTTCACAGGTACATGAATGCATTTTACTGAACTGTATTGCATATTTTGATAGTCTAATATGCGCATAGAAGTGATCGTTTCCAAAGGCAGCATTTATCACAAGGCAGTTGCATCGGATGGCAATACAAAAACAGAAATTTCCAGCATGTTGGTTTGAACAACATAACATTTATGAAGTGTGAAATGTGTTTGAGGTGGAATCTGTGCCATGTGTTCAGCCCCAGTCCATGGCAGAGGTCCTGGCCAAGAAAGAGGAGCTGGCAGACCGACTGGAGAAGGCCAACGAAGAGGCGATCGCCAGTGCCATCGCTGAGGAGGAGCAGCTGACTAGAGAGATTCAAGCCGAGAACAGCGAACTGGAGACTGACAATGAAAGTGACTTCTCTGTAAGATTAATCACGCTTATTTAAAATTGTAAATGTCCTATACGAAGTTTGTTGAAAATGTATCTTACTTTATTGTAAACTGATGTAAAAATGCAAATCTTCACAACAGGCAAGCATGGGCAATGGCGGTTGTGGAGTCAATATGGATTGGAGTGACATGCTGGCAGATTATGACGGTATAGAAGTTTACATCTGAATGAAAAATATACTCATTCTTTTTAAGGGCACATGTTACACTGAAGTCGGTTTTATTTTTGTTGTTCGTCTGTCCTGTAGCTCGGGAACCATGGCGTCAGAGTACCTCATGGGGGGACATAGTAGAAGAAGAACCTGCTCGGCCTCCTGGACATGGGATCCATATGCATGAAAAACTGTCCTCACCATCGCGCAAAAGGTACAAATTGTTTTCTTGTTCTTTTTTTGTTTTTCCTCCCCCTGCTGGTTTTGTTTATTTCATGACGCACATTTACAGAGTCTGCACTGTCCAGCCTGTTTGTCTGCTTTGCCTTCCAAAGCAGCACCTTACTCTACTCATTTGCAACCCTTGTACCTTACTTTGACAAGGATTTAACCCAACATCCTGGGAGTCAAAGGCCCACTTCAGTGCGTCTGACCCCTCTTTCTTTTTATGTTACCACCCAGGATGCATAAACAGGCCCTCGTGTCTATTGGATTCTATGTCTGCCTTGCACATTGTTGATAAGGAGAGAGAAAGAGATGAATGATTTGTTTCCATTTTTTTGACAGGACCATTGCAGAGTCAAAGAAGAAACATGAGGAGAAACAGCTGAAGGCGCAGCAGCTGAGGGACAAACTCCGGGAGGAAAAGACACTCAAACTGCAGAAGCTCTTGGAGAGGGTGAGTAAGCTGTGCCGACTGGATGGAAAGCACCCTGAAGAAACTCCATGCGAGCTAAGCTCAGCCTGGCTCAAAACGAGAGGTTCTGTCAGCACACTGCCCGATAGAATCACCAAATATTATAACCCCCTTCCAGTCGCATCCAGGCCAGCTGGCCACAGGCAGTCATGAGAGATGTCCCTGGCCAAAATCAACAGCCTTTCATGAAGTTTGTTTTTGTACTCCAGACCATGGCAAGATGAGTGAGTCCTAGAATAAATCAGGTTAACCACATAAATACATGAAGTGGTGTATATTCTCATTAATCCCCATATGGACACACTGGAGAGAGGGGAGAAACCGATAGGTCGAGACTGCATTGTCTGTTTTGTCCTGAAGAATGTACTGTACATTCCTTAATTTTCACCACTCCTGCTGCTCACTCTTCACTTTCTGCAGGAGAAGGACGTGAGAAAATGGAAAGAGGAGTTGTTGGAGCAGCGTCGGAGGATGATGGAGGAAAAGCTGCTGCATGCAGAGTTTAAGAGAGAGCTGCAACTCCAAGCCATTGTGAAGAAGGCCCAAGAAGAAGAGGCCAAGGTAATGGAAGGGATCCTGAAAAGCCTGAACCATGTCCATGTGACAGTTCAGCAATAACCCAAATTAAGTGGTTGTACAGTCATTCATTTTATACACCCTGAGTGTTTATATCCTCATGCATAATTGATGCGTCTGTACAGGTGAATGAAATCGCTTTCATCAACACTCTGGAAGCCCAAAATAAGAGGCATGATGCTTTGGCCAAGTTAAGTGAATATGAACAACGCCTCAACGAACTGCAAGAAGAGAGACAGAGGAGACAGGAGGAGAAGCAGGCCAGAGATGAAGCTGTGCAGGTGAAAAAAAAATTCAATAAAAAGTTTTCTTTGACTAGTCATTTTCACTTTTTGTTAATTATTCAGTTGCATCTCTATTCTCTCTTCCTTCTGTAGGAACGTAAACGAGTTCTGGAAGCAGAGCGGCAGGCAAGAGTGGAGGAGCTGCTGATTCGTAGGAAGGAGCAGGAGGCTCGTATTGAACAGCAGAGGCAGGAAAAAGAGAAAGCTAGAGAGGATGCAGCGCGGGAAAGAGCCAGGTTTGTTACCCCAAATAAGTTCACTATGGGAATATACAGTGAGTTCACAAAGAATTCAGACCCCTATAATGGTTGTACCCTAAATTAATTGTGTTGTAAATAGAATTTTAAATAGCGGTCACTTAATAACTCATAATGACATGTTTTTAAAAAATGCAGATTTATTGTCACTCAAAACTTTACATTTTTTAAAAAATGTATTTGCACCTCACTATATTTTTATCAGAGACGCCATACTTGTTTTTTGTCCTGACGTGCAGTGAATTTTGGGAGCTTTATGCATAGAGGTGTATGCCTTTCTAAACTATGTTCAATAAATTGCCATAGATGGACTCAATTTCTTGCAATGTGAATGTCAGTTTCTGTTCACATTGCAAGCACACTTACAGACAACAGGATACATCTAAGCACAATTTTGAGTGTTTCAGCAAAAGGTCTGAATGCTTTTGTAAATTAAAGTTTTTTTGTTGTTTATTTTAGAATTTTGCGTAAATGTATTAAACATACATGTTTTGTGTTTGTCATTATGAGTTATTGACAGTAGACTGATAGACAACAAGCTCATTTTCCAACTCACGGTGTGCAAAAACTGAAAATACTTCATGAATTCACTGTGTCTACACAGGTAGATGCACTGATTTGCATTCTGCCGTAATTTTGATGAGTAAGTCTTACATTTAGCAGCACAGTTTTTTACACTGCTGTGTGTTCTATATATAGAGACCGAGAGGAGCGTCTGGCAGCTCTTAGTGCTGCTCAACAGGAGGCCATGGAGGAGCTACAGAAGAAAATTCAGATGAAGGTAAGTCTATACCATGCTATCTTGCTGTTTAGACGGACATCACGCAGGAATCCCCGTTTCCCATATGACCCATGGTTTCTTGTTTCTACTTCAGCATGACGAGAGCAGCCGCAGGCACATGGAGCAAATCGAACAGAGGAAAGAGAAGGCTGCTGAGCTCAGCAGCGGTCGACATGCTAACACAGACTACGCCCCCAAACTGACACCATATGAACGCAAGAAACAGTGCTCACTGTGTGGCGTTGTGGTATGTAAAGTTTCATCCCAGTAGTCTCTGACCTTTTTGATGTCCATTACTGACTTGTAATATAATGATTCTAACAGTGTCACCTTGTGGAATTTCTATTATTGTAGAGACATGTGATGTTAACATTTATTCGCTTTGTTAATTTCAGATAGGTTAGAATTGTTCTCCAGCTCTACATTTATTATTTCTACTTTATCTTGAGACCTACTGAATGTGCCTCTCCAAATGCCCTGAGCTCTGTGTTATTGTGGTTTTCTGTATATTCACAAAAAAAAGCTACAATGAAGGTGATTCAGAGGATTTTTGGAAGAGGTTACATTTAAATGAAGATTTAACTGCGGTGATTAAACGTCGACTCTCAAACAGAGATTTATGACTGGACGTGATTATGCTTTTTTAAGCGTCAGGCAACAAATCCACAAGCAGACACATTTGTCTCTGATTAAGTAGCTACCAAGACAACAAGGGTGGGACACCTTGAGTCTCGAAGCCAGCATCGGACAGAGAGGAGGGGTCGACGGTGAAAGAGCGAATCTTGTTAAAATGTTAGATGACCTTGGCCGACATCTGACACCAGAGATCATGGATGGGTCAGCAGCAAGCACTTTATTTAATGACATTAAACACGAGCCATGCCAAATGGGCCTGTTTCCAGAAATGGGACAAAAACATTGCCTGCTATACACCTGTCTCTATGCACCAGCATTACATTTATTAAGACCTGTATGGTGTTGTCTCTAACATGCATTTGGCAAATTAAGCACACTTAAACCATTTTTATGGCACTTTGAGCTTGTTCTTTTTTTAAATCTTGAACTTTTCTTTGTTAAGCATTAAAATCATTTAAGAGTCACTGTGTTAAATTGTGCTACAAGTTCAACTAAGGAGGAAATACAAATTTAATACAAAAGTCTATCAAAACAACATGTAAATCACATCACCTGTCTTTAGTCTTTGCTTTGAGCTGAGGTTCATGAGAAGAGAGCCAGGTCACGTCCCATTGTGTGCGTTCATGTGGCACATCCTTTCACCGGGGTAGCATGGAGCCCTGTTGACCCTTTACCTTCCTCTGTCTCCTTTGTGTCCACAGCAGTGACCTCTGACCACTGTGTTTGTGTTTGCAGATCACCTCAGAGGTGCACCTGTTCAGCCACACTAAGGGCAAGAGGCACCAACAGGCCGTGCGAGACAGTAGCAGCATCCAGGGACGGGAGCTCTCTGATGAGGAAGTGGTGCGTATCACCCACACCCTGCCCTGCCAGGAACAAACATCCACTCATTCTGTCAAAGAATACTGCCCTACTGCTGCTTGTGTCATGTACAAAGACAAAGAGGCACAGCAGTTGTATTTTATGACGTGGTCATTATTATTGTTTATGCATCCCCTCATATACCACCACAGCTTTCTTGCTGGCTTTGTGAGATTATAAATGGGCCTTGAAGTGTACACAGTTTGGGTTCAGCGCTTCAGTGGAGAGCTGACATCACCCCTCTGTCTCCAGGCTTTTTTAGTCATGTAGCGCTTTTCCATGGGAAGGCAGCTCGTTAATGCAAGGTAACCTCTCAGGCTGCAATATGAGATTGGCTTTTCAGCAGTGCTCATTGTGAGGCTGACAACTGTTGGTGCTATACGCGGCACCTTTGGCCCCAGCAGCTCCTTCATTCAAAGCTTTTTTCAGTGGAGAATAATTGATACCTCCGCCTTCCTTCCCTCTAAATCATTTCCTTTCCAAATGCAGGCCATTTTTTTTCTCCCTTTGACAGTATGATAAACAATGCAGTGGAGAGAAGCACTTCACCAATATAACACCATAAACAGTTCATATATGAACATTGCTTCATTTACATTTGCAATGTGTCTCTTCTCATATGATATAGTTTTAGCAGCAACCATAATACTCAAGCTTTACTGCTCTCCTGCCGTCCATATCATCATTTTGGTAGTATTAATCAGTCAACATTTAAGTCCTTGCTGAACACATCCTTCTCTCTGAAGTCATCCTTGTAATATCCTGCATCTGGCTTAATCTTAGTGTCACACTTACTCAATTTGTATGAAGTATGTTATTACTGGACTGAGATATTAGTCATTGTAGTATCTCTAATAGATAAGATTTAGATGTCCACTACTGCTTTTTCTAATCAAGCTGTCCAATAGGTGCACGTCTGGAGACTTTGTTTGGATAGTCTCATGTGCCCCCTTGTTATTTATATCAAAGCTCAATTTGGTGTTCACCATTTCATTCAAGCCACTGCCAACTATTTTCCAGACTGTGGCTTCATAACTCTTCCTGCAATGAAAGAGTTTTAATTAAAATGAAGATTGTTGGTTCCACTGTGCAGAGGTCACTCCATAGTTTTTCAGAGGAAGCTGGCTGCAAATGCCCTGAGCCTTCATATTTAGTCATTTTCTCTCATTCTTTAAGACTTGTGAATTAAATTGAAAATATGATGAGTACCAACTGGGCTGGATCGATGTATGTGCAGAGGGCTTGAGATTGCATTCACTCTTTTTTTTGCTCACCGTCTGTTCTGGTTTAACAGGATGCAGGCAATATCCAACACCCATGGCTTCTGACATAAGGAATTTATTTATTAATTGCTTTAGATCCCGGCTTCTCTTATAAAAGACTTTTCTTATACTTCGCTTGTCTGTAGCGCTTGGCAAGCACGATCAGTAGAGGGATCGCCAACGCTGCGGAGGGTATCAGAGCTGACCTCTCAGAGGCACTGAATATTCCTAAAGGGCTTGTCGTTGAAGCTGTACTGATAGCCACAAATTGAGAAGCTTGATGAAATATCCCTACTGCCAGCTGAAGCGAGCCTCTCCCACACTGCGCTGTTTTAAGATCTGACTGTTGTTTTGGTATAGCAACAAAGCTGCTGCTGAAAGAGCAATCAGTTGAGCAAAATTTACTTTTACAGCACAATTCATACAGTGAAATTAAATAAAAATAAAAATAAATTAGTACAAAATAAAATATAAAAAGAATTGTAATAGAATTCTATGCTGAGTTTTTGTTTTTATTTTTGTTGCGTATTTGTGTTCCCCCCTAAAATGTCATTGTATGTGGTTTAGTGCAACAATGCCCTGCAAACCACTGTATTGCTGGTAGCAATAACCAGCATAGTATTGTATCCTATGTTTGGAGGGAACATGGAATACAGCTGTTTGTTTCATGCCAAAGGGAAGCTTATCACTCCTGTCTTTGTACGTGACAAAAGAAACGGTGGATCGAGGTATCCAATAGAATTTGTGTTTGTGTAGGCTGCCTCTTAGATCTGTGAAAGGTCAGTTTGTGTCAGGGAAAGGGAGAGATGTTAATAGCGGTGTCACATTTCTCCCACCAAAGGCAATATGTGATATTGTGAGATAGCAGTGCCTGTAGGCCAACGTCTTTGCTGCTTTGTTACAATGGTTCCGCGGTAGACACCTGTCTGTCATCGAGTCTGCTTCTCTGAAAGTCTGCAGACTAACCCTCTAGAAACTGAAAGTGTAATGATATATTTATTTGCCAAAGGATTATATCCTGTGTGTCAGCATTATACTACTATAATATTTCAGGTGCCTTTTATGAAACCAGTGTGATTTTGCAACAGATGATGTTTTGGATGTGTTATTGAAACAATTCCATTAAGTGAGTGGCTGGTGCACTGGATAGCCTCTCAGAGAGATTACTGAACAGCTGTCTCCCAAGCGAGGGACAGCTACGGTCATGAGTCATGACTGACCTGTACTATCAGTGAGAAGAGGGCAGAGGTGCGTGCATACAAATAAAGACACACATACCCTTCCTAGGAAACATTACACCCTCACATGCAGTGCCCTTTTCATTTCCAAAGCTATCATAATCCCCTTTTCCAGTGTTTTGCTCTTGTTACCCACTAAAAATCCTTCTTAATCATTCTTCTCTTGACCTACAGAAGTTCGGGTAACTACTTGTTCCACATTAAAGCTCCTAGAAATATTGCTTCAAATCTCACGACAAACTTTCTACAATATTGAGTATTTGATTCTGGGAAAAAAACAATGTCTATATATTAAACACACAAGAATTTTTAAATTAAAATTATAGCTTTTTGTTGAGTGCGCAGGAATATGAGCTTTTCTTACTCACAGTCACACTCATTGAAACAGTTGGAAAAAGCATACACAAATCAAAAACTGCAAAAAATCTGACATGTAAAATAACTGTTTGAACTCAGGCAGAAAATGATATGCTTTTTTAGGATCCCATCGCTCGTAGTATAAAGTTCATTTAGAAAATAGATTGTCAGGGGCTTTAAAGAGGACATGAAACATCCTAGTTTCAAGGCCAAGAAAAACCTATTTCAAACAAAATGCTGGAAGGTATTTTGAAGAGATTCCCAGAAACCCAGTTGCTTGTGCATTTGAACCAGTGAGGAGGAGAGAGAGTACAAAGTTGAGTTGTCAGTGCTGCCACTAGTTAGCTAATCTCAACAAATAATGCATTACCAACCCAGTGACACGAGGACTAGACAGAGTGCCATTTGCCTGTAAATGCTTACATGGATCACTTTCTATTGGAATCATGTTTTACCAAACCTATAAGGATTTTAGAAGTGGGCATACATCTTTATAAATTATACCAAATGTTTCTACTTTAAGTCAAGATAGTAAAGACACCTTTAGATCCAGTCAGTAGTTCTACATCAGTAGACTGCCTTTGTTAGTCCACGTAACGGCACCTGTTTTTACGACGCCTCTCAGTGAAAACCCCTATTCAAGCAGCAGGTGCAGGGAAAACACTGACCAAAGAGGAAGACATCCCACACACAGGTTAGCTTGACTGCTGAATGGAAACCCTTTATCTGAAGCCGTCCTATCCTCTGGGGTGCTGGATGACAGCATAATTGGGTAATTGGTTTCTTGCACATGCATCATGCTGTTCAAATTGGGTTACATTCCCCTTGCTCCTGGTGGAAATATCAGAATCATCTGACAAGGCCAGACAGGAAGCAACACCTCCAGGCCGTTAGCATGTCCATGGGCGGGCAGGTATTGGAGGTAATTACAGGATAAAGTGGTGTTATTTCGAGGTGTAGTGCTGTGTCACACAGTATATTTAGTACCACACCTTAAGTGTGTAACGCCTCTTAAATTTAACGATTACATTTACAGTTGAACATGAAGTTGAACAATCAATTGTGACAAAAAATACATGTTACACAGCTTTATAATCAATCCTGAATGTCTCACTGGAAGAAGGAGACACTTGTATGTTAACCTTTCTAGGATACATCATTGCAGTCTTGTGTTTGTCGTCCTCTTTTATTCTGTTTTAATATTGTTAAATGTATTTTAATAGATATTATTTATGTTTTCATTGTGACCTGCCAAGGGACTGCAGATGGAAATGAACTTAAAGCTAACATCAAATGGCAACATTTATGTTTGATATTGTTCATGGTCGCTTTTAAATAAACTCATTTATAATAATAATTCTGTTTACTTTGCTTGGGTCAGCGGTGACAGGGTATTCCAAATGTAAAAAGCCAAAAATACTCTATTACAAGCATTATACTGTTGTTAGTTTTGCGTTAATTTCTATACAGTATTTTAATGTTCCTACATGGCTAGGAAAATCTAAATTGTCTACCTTGGATCCTGGATAGTTTTAACTGTTGCAACATATCATATTATATTTATAACCATATCAAATGTTTTAGGATACGTCCAAGTAGACTCTTTGTCTGCAGAGTAACCGGCACTAAGCTGTTTAATAATGTAAAGGTCTCATATTTGACAATTCAACTTCATGTATTAGAAGTACAAAGTTCCCGAAAGTGTAAGAATTCCTTTTAAGTGAAGATACTGTAAAACCTGAGTAAAAATACTTATTTACTTCCCCCTCACTGATTTATGGGGTTGTTACGACAGTCCAACAGTAATTTGCCAGCGATGTCTCTGATATATTGATTTTTGCTCTGTTCTAGGAGCATCTTTCCCTGAAGAAATACATTGTGGACATTTTGACGGACAGCTCCGTTTCTTCTGAGAACATGAAAGACGGAGAAGAGCGACAAAAGGCTCGGAAGAAGGCAAAGAAGCTCCGTGCCAGGATGAACTCCAGGTAATACATCCATTTTCTCTTTCTGTCCATCTCGCTCACCAGCCTCTCACACAGCACAGAGGACAAAACTGTGCCAAGACTTTTTTATGAGTGACAAGGAGATGGAAAACAGATGTTATGTGCATCCTGGCTGTCCACAAGGTAACACTGATGATCTTAATTTATGACCACTTTCTGTGATTGGGGAGCAAAGCCGCGTATCGATCCGTAGGTCCCCGTCTTTCACCTGTAAAGAGCTTTCCTCCAAATTGCTGCCATGGCATTGCCAAATCTGAAGCTTCCCTCGGCGTACAGGATGTATGTTAAAGTATGAATGAGCCATGCCTATTTCTCTTCTTCTAAGTTATTGATTTTTAAATGAAGTATCAAAGAAAATCAATAGTAATCAACAAATAGGAGGTGACGCCGCTGTGTGTCAGAACCTGGACCTGAGCTCAATCAATTTAACTGGCTGTCACAACAGAGAGGGGAGGGAGTGGGTGGACACACAATGTTGACAGTACTTACTGTAAGATGTTATTGATGCAGATTACTGAGAGGATTCCACGACAAGCAGGATGACATTAATATGTGAAGTGTATTCTCTACACTGTAGAAAAAAAACTGTATTCTCTTAGCAATTTCCCTGAGGTCTTGTACCGCAGGGATTAATAAAGTTTTATTCTAATTCTACACACGGCAACTTTGCACAGTAAAAAGTATTAAGAAAAATATGTCTTCCATCAACCTCAGTCAGTAGCTGAAGGGTCACTTACATGAACAACATGTATATAGCCAAACGATAATGAAATCCCATTTTTTTGTCGTAGTACAGCTTTTTTTAAGTTCCTTTTTTTGACTTAATAATACTAGAGCTGTACTTCATACGACACATAATAATCCATCTTTGCTTGCAGACCCTGAAAGTGAATTTAACAACTTATTGTTACTCCTCAGAAACAAGAGAAAAGAAAAGAAAATTCATCTTTTTTTCTGTTTTGTTATGAGTGTTTCTGGCTTGAAGATGTAATTAAAAAAATTAGACACACTTCACGGCAAGAATGTAGCGTCTTGATATACACACTAAAATACCATGGTGATATGGCTGTGGCTCAAGAAGTAGAGCAGGTCTTCCGTGAATTTAAGTGTTGGTGGTTCAATCTTCGACTCCTCCTGTGGATAGGCCGGCACTTTGAGTGTGTGTGCATGGGTGAATGAGAGGTACTGTAAAACGTCTCTGTCCCGCTCCATTTGGAAAGTGCTATAGTGCAGCCTGTTTATCATAATGGAAGGTGTGTTGATAATGTGTTCATTTAGTGGGCGAGAGCACACTCAATACTGTTGTGTAGATCCGTCTGAGCCACTTTGTTTATTTCCCGCTTATAGAGGCTCGACTGTGTACAAACACCAGATTGTTTTTTTTTCCCAACACACAAACATAACCGTAAGGATGTATTCATGTGACTTTCGGCAATAGTGTCTTAGATTAATATTTGAGTTGGATTAGAACCACACGCTCGAATATAAGAAACTTATTCTATTATTTAGTCACAATAACCCCTCCATTGCACATTTTCTTCTGCCAACTTTGAGGTAAAGATATCTAACTGGGCCTCAACAGTATTTTTGTAGTTTTATTTCACCACAACAGTACAAGTCTGATTTAAAGATCTCCACCTTTGAGCAAATGTATGAGAAAGCAGAAAAACTTTCTTAAATGCCAGCCAATATCTCCAAGAGTAAGAGTTTGTTGTTTTCTGCTCTTGTCTGTATATTCAGTCTCACTCATGAAATATAAAGCTGGATGTTGGACTGAGTTTTTTATGGCTAATGGTCGTAGTTTCATTTGTGAGTTATAGAAACTTTAATAAGGGAACCAGTGAAAGTCTGACTGAAGATTAATCAATCTAGGTACGATTTTACATTTTTGTTTATGATCAAAAATAAAGATGCAAGTTTTGTTGGACAAGCCTTGTACACTCTCATATTAACAACACTGATTGTTGTCATTGTCACAGGAAATCCTTTTTCTGATTTCAGTCCTGTTAACTATATTTTGTTCTAAACACTTGCTAAGAGAAGTGAAGTTATCACGCATTGCTTATAGATTGTGTGTCTGAGTCTCTCTTACCAAGTGTAGTACATTTCTTCCTTTGTTATCCATCCCCTTCTGTGAGTGTAGGCACACTTGATGATCCTCCAGCCTCTTATCATTGACCTGTGGATATGACCATGAGCGGGACTTCATTTTGTGAAAGAAAATGTATGATTGTTATTCTGCTTAGAAAAAAAGTATTTATTCAAAGGAGGACTAAAAAGTCAGCTACAGGCCGAAACACCCATTCTGCTGCGAAGCTTTATTCTCAGTGCTGCTGTTTTTGGCTTTGTGAGGCTCAGCGGTGCTGAGAAAGTGACAACATGATCTGCCTCTGTTCACCATCACTCGCGCTCCAGCCCTGCTGAGACTAGCACTCAAAGGCAGCAGGCCTTCAGAGGTCATAAATAACACAGAGTCCCAGTAAACATAAAGGTGAGCCGCTTCACCACTGGGTGGAAATGAACCGTTTTATTGGAACACCGTATGGTGTCTGTAAAACGTGAGTGGTTCTCACAGGACTTTTCGCTGTGCTGCTCTGATGTATCATAAAGCACATTTTAACCCGCATGTTTTTTTTTTTTGTTGTTGTTGCTGTTGCAGTTTGACTGACCTTTTCTAATAACATATGTTTCAAAAAGAAAAACATGCTGTTAAAAATTTAATGTATGAAGCCTGTCAGTTAGTGTCAGGATGAGTTCTGAACTTGGAAACCAAAGTCTCCACTTATACTGTGGCACGAGCTGCTTTCCTGTTGCTGGTTGCTTGTGGTTCGCTGAGCAGAGAACAGAGTAGCCAGTGTGTTGTTGTTGTGTGCTTGAACCTTAGATGGCAGTGTGTATACAAAGACACTCCTGTATGCAGTATAGAAAACTGTGTAAGGTGGTAAGAGTGGCCCTAAATCATTTTAACCAGTCTGTTGCCTTAAATTAAGGAAAAAAGGTTGTGTTCGTAAATGTGAAACATAAATCCTTAGCAATGCACACACAGCGAAATGAATTACTCTGAGTTGTTGAAGTATTAATATCATTTTTCTGTAGGTTCTACGATCCTTTATTGTCACTAAAATGGCAGCAGACTTCCGTTTTAGGTCCGTGTTGTGTACATCGTAGTCATGGTTTAAACATCTATCTGTAGCACTGGAGAAAAGTGCGTCTCTGTAAATTAAACGGAGATATAAGGAATTAAGGTCGGTTGTGTTGTGAAGTGCTTATAGTCTTATATTATAGATCTGTGCTTTCTCTGTTATTGCTGATCACTGAGATTTATTACAACATTTTACATGACCGTAATGAATTGCTCAGCAATTGCTCCCTGTTTAATCTGATTGGGTATAAACCTGTCAGTGATTAATATTGTAATATCATAATTGACAAACAGGGCAGATACAGTTCAGGCCCTTCTTAGGCAAGTCTGTGCTACCTATTTATCACCATATTAACATGATGCATAAAATAACTGTATTCGGAATGAATACTGAACAGTGGTATTTGTTTGTTGTTATCCATCCTTGCAACTTGGTCTATTGACAGTAATATCCAATCCAGTAAAAGTATACTTTCTGTGTCTCAATCATATTTCTTTTCTTATAGCAGTATGGCTCATCTTGTTGGTCGCTTGCTTAGATTTTTACCTTCAAATTTTTTTTAATTTTAATTTTTTTAATAGTCATTATGTAAGTTTTGTAATGGCTGCATCTATAAAGATAATAGGTAAACATTTCATACTTGGAAAAATAAAATGAATATGCTACCTTTCTTAAGTGTTAGAATATAAGCCCTGCATGACCACTTGTAAGGTTTTTTCTTATCTCATCGTCCTGGTCTAGCTGTGAGGCGTTATCGGTTCCTGTTAGATGACTGCCCTTGAACACAAAAGATTGCGAGCAGTAGATCAGGCTTCGGTCGGTCCAGGCTCTGTCTGCTGCTACATGTCCACCTGTCGTCTTCCAGGAAGTGTTTGATTCTATCTGTGTTGAGATGAGTAACCGGAAGGTGCTCCGTCAAACTCTGATCGATAGTTACTTATCATGTCTGGGAAAGCTTGATTGTCAGAAAGATAAATTCCCCCCCACCTTACTTTCACTCACGAACACACAGAAACGCAAAACTTTGCGTTTCTCAGAGTCTGGCTGTTGGTCTAATGTCGTGGAGATACAAGTCCCCTTATGACTTTGACCTTTCAGGAGGTGATGCATTCGAACCACTGCTTCCACCGTATGGTAACTGTTTTACAAAGAGTGCAGTAAAGAATTTGAGCCTCCCATGTTAAAAAAAGTCAGGAGAATTGAAAGATAGGACTAAGTCTAGATGGTATGAGTCGATGGCAGCGAAACACTCGTCCCCACAGATCTGAGTTTGGTTATTTTAAGCGAAGTTACTTGGTCATTGTTCGACAGGCCAAATAAACAGACTCATTTTGAACCGCTTTGTTTCTCATTTTTCACGCTTTGGTCTGCTGTGTTCTTTACTGATGGGACAAACACTTTTTTCCTGAGATTTAAAGACTTTTTTTCTTTTTCTCCAGGGCAAAGGAATACGAGACATCAATAGAGGCAAAGACTCAGGTCCCTGACTCTCCATATAAGGCTAAGTAAGTATTTTCCTTTTTTCATAAATTTAAGCTTCACATTATTTTTTGCGTAAAATGTGTTGTAGGGCTGCAACTAACAATTATTTTCTCAAGAAATTAAGGGGAAATGATGCACTCAGCTTTAGGAGGGATTCTAGTAATTATTTTCTTTCTCCATTAATCAAGAATAATATATTCAACAGTTAAAATAAAAATTGATTTACTTTGATGAGAGACTAACAAAACTGGCACATACTCATGTTTGAGAGGCTATAATCAATTATTTTGTTTGGCAGTCATACAAATTACTTAAACAATAAATGAAATGTCTTTATAGATTAGTTTTGTCTTTCCATTAATTAAATACTTCTTCAGCTTGTTTCGCTCAGTCCACAGTCTAAAGATATTAAGCTTCCTGTCATTGAAAACAAATGCAAGCAAGCAACATCTCATTTTCAGAAGAAGAAACCTTGTTTTTGTAATGTTTGCCTGAAAAATGACTTAAACAATTACTCGATCTTCAAACCAAATGTTTTTTTTCCTGTAAATTTTCAAGTTAATTAATCAGTTAATAGTTTTAGTTTATAGTCTACTGGTAGAATAGAAACCTAAGATTAAGAGCTGATGTCTGAACAGATTTATAACAACTTTTGGCTCCTGTATGCTCAGATTGCAGCGTTTGGTGAAAGACCTGTTGAAGCAGCTGCAGGGCCAAGACAGCGGGCAGTGGGCCAACAACAAAGCGTCTGGTCTGGACAGAACTCTGGGAGAGATCTCTCGCATCTTAGAGAAACAGGTAGAACCGCAAATGAATGACTCAGGCGCAGCAGACAATGTGATTAAATTAAGTGAATTATGTTTTTATGCATGTAAACTCTTGCTTTTCTTGAATGTAGATGTCTGTTGCAGAGGTTCAAAGCTGCCTGATGGGTGCATAATACCTTAGTCTGCTCGACTTCTGTTTTCTTGCTTTCCTTTCGATCGGGCTGTCTGCTGCAGCGCACAGGTCATGCCAGCCCTTTGGCATGTCTCTTCAGTGATGAGCTGCGTTTGCTGTGTCTCCCCATGTCTCACCCTCCCGATGTAGAGTATCACTTACTCCAAACCGACTTGCCTTTGGTTATTGGCTAATGAAGACCAGATTAACAGTGTTTTCATTGGGCACATGGTACCAATAGAAGAGCTTCCTAGGACGAGAGCAAGCATTGTCTCGTGTCTATGTGGCTCGCACGACTCAGATGTCACTGGTTTAGACAATGGTAAATTGGATTTCCAGATGAAATGCCATTGATGCACAAGACTTTATTCAAAAAAAGCCAAGTGAATTTAACTATATATTTTTTTTAAAGAAGATTTAGCTTTTTTCATTACACGTCTTTACAGATGTATAAATAAAAATGTCAGCTATAATGACAGACGTTTATAACTACAGTTGAGTCGAACCATCTGCCCCCGAGTCTTTGTTGCATTCTGATTTTTTTTTTTTTATTGAAAAACTCACATCCATTTGAGACAGAGGAGAGGAATTAAAACACCTGCCACCATGTTTATGATGAGGAAAATATACAGCCCACTTCCTGTAACGAGGCATAAATTTCCTGCCAAGCTGTGGTTTGAGCCATCATAACATCCCACTGTGCATGCCTCTGGGTGTGAGGATGGAGAGATTATGGTGTCCCATCAGTGATGACAGGGACGGCTGGAGAGGCTATTACCGAATTTCCCCAGAGAGGCAAAGAAAGAGGTGGAGGTGGGTGGCACAGTGTCCTGTAAGAAGAGAGGAGGAGACCAGTGTGATGTGAGTAGCACACAAGCTGTTACTACATGAGGGCTCCTCCCCTCAGCTCTACGTACTCCCAGTGGGAGGTCAGAGGTCAGTGGGCCACGGAGATGTGCTCCATTCAACAGCAGTGTCGCAGAAACAAGGCAGATCAAGATTCGGTCTGTGTCCTTTTGCTTTGTCTTTCGCCTCAGGTTAAAAGCACATTTTGAAGCTATTTTGTCACATTCTACTTCACCATCTTCTGACAGGGATATCCACCGAAATCTGTGCAGAACCGTGACTGCCCACTGAGGCAGCCTGGGGAGCACTTCCCTCTCTAATCCCTTGACAAAGTCAAATAAATAGAGCCTCCATCAGCATGGCTGTCTGGCCCCTGAGTCACTTCAAGTCGGGGCCGTTTAGATTATTTGACCTAACAAGCATCTCTCATGTCATTGACTCACCTAGAGATTTGTTTTTCTCCCCCATATCTGATTCAGTCTCCACTTTCTCTGCTAATTCCTTAGACAACACCCGACCCTCCCCTCCCGCTCTAGCTGTTTGGGTCCCACCCCCCGCCCCTCACTCCTCCTTTGCTTTCGAGGCTATGTCTAGTCTCTGACCTCAGTGTGTTTCTCCCTCTGTGGCCTCTAATGGTTTATTTTGTGTCAAACCTGATTTTTTTTCTTTACTTTGGGTGATTGAGAAGAGCAATTTTCCCAATGTGCTGCTCCATTCTTTTTGCTGCACACTTGCCGTATTATTAAGCACTGGTATTTATATATTGCCCAAAGTGTTTACCGCAGCGTCAGTTAAAGGCCTGTCTAGAAAAGAGTAACATGTTTGGCAGGTAGGAACTGTCAGGAACGTGGTGCTCTGAGAGCCAAAAACTGCAGACTGTATTTACATTTTCATTTGGTAGCTGTCAGAGCCTGGTTTGGCTGACTGGTGGGAGTGGTGGGAGTTGTATCTGGGGACATGGGGGAAGGTGAAGGGCAGAGTGGCAGGATAACAGGCTTTCTTGCTCGGGCCTCCAGCAGACTGACAGATACAGCCCAGATCAGCTATGCCAGAACTTTGTCAAAACCAAAAAAAAAAAAAGCAAGCTGCATGCTGTGTAGTTCAGTTTAGAAATTTTTTTCTTCTTTTGCCACACTTAGATTCGACCGCTACTGTTTTGTGCATTACTTCTAATTGGTTTTAAAAAAAACTGTTTATGTTGTAGAAAAACAGATGTTGTGGCTAAGTGTCACTTAATATTACCATATTCCTTGTTTGTTCTGTGTGTCTGACATTTACTACGAAAGCTCTTCAACTGCATCAGTCTATAAATATATACTATGGCAATGAATGGATAAATATTCAGTAGCATGACTAATTGATTAGTCAGTTTTCCTAAATCATTTGTTACCGAAATCCTTCATCAAGAAAACTAGCAATCGTCTATAAGTTAGGTGTCATGGATTTGTTTTTATTTTTTAGCTTCTTATGTAGTAAACAGTATTGCAACATTTCTCAGTAATAAATAGTAACGTTGTCCTATTTCCTGATGGACTTTAAGCTGTTGTGGATCATTTTATTGTTAAACCTAAATATGATTATCTCGGAGGCTGCTAATCAGTAGCAAATGATCATATAAAATACATTTTTTTAAAAACCCAAACAAACACAAAAAACTGAAACGGTAATTAAAATTGGATTTTTTAAAAATTATTAATTATTATTTTATAAGACTTTAATCTAATGTTACTGTATTTTCCTTCGTAGGCTGTCATTTGTTTCCAAACAGCCTCATTTTTGTTTCCTCACCACAAGTCCAATAGGCAGTGAAATGGTTCGAAGCTTCTTTTTGTATTAGTTATAACTAGAGGCTGTCTGTGGTTTCTGTGGCACGTTGGATTTTGCGCCACATTGGCCTTTGTGTTTATTTTATAAAATGAACCAAGATTAATCAGTTTGCGAGTGCTGGGCAAAAGTGGAAATGGATAATTCTACACAGACTGCTATTATGTCTTGTAAACACACAAGTTTAAACTCCAGCGTTTTATGCTTTAAAATGTTTACTCCAGCAGCCTTGTTGCGGTTTACAGTTGACTTGGCCCACTGTGTAATGATGAGATTCATGTGAGCAGAGGGTCATCTGTTGTGCTCGTCTCCGTCGTCTAGTTGCGACGACGTGAGCCCGTGACTTGAACATGCAGATCAGAGTTGAAGTCCGTCGTTAATGAACTTTGCCAGTTGTTGACCATCTGTTTGGGAGGCAGGACGACTGAGACTTTGCCCTCCTCTGCTTTAATTAAAGTGTCTGGTGGGAGGAGACTACAAAGAGCAGTTCTAGCTGGTCTGCTGTTCTCTGGACACTGTCGCAGGAACTACCAGCTGCTTCGACCTTCCCATCAGCTGTGGTAACAATAGTTACCCTGGACAGTAATTGGATAAGATTCACCCTGTTGTATAATTCAGGAGCTATCTCTCACTTGTGTCCTAATGCCCAGCGCTTGGTGGTGGCTCCTCCTTTTTTTTTGGTTCTTTTTGAGGGAAAACTATTTTCTCATGCTGTTGCTGTGTTTGGTTGTAGCGTCTGCCAGGTTTTTTCCAGGCACAGACAGATTAAGACTTAAAGAAACATTGCTGTATTTTATCGTGTATATGTTATGCGTAGCTTGGTGCAAAGTAGTAGAGAAAGGGAGAACAGTTAGCCTACTAACTGACATGTACAGTTTGTGCAGCAACCCACTAAAAGCTGATACTGATAATCATAGCTTAGTGTGTTAGAATGCTAACATTTACTCGTTACAGTATTTGTTGTTTGCGAAGCACAGCTGACAATGAAAGGATTGGCACTCTGAATGCTCCTTATGAACAAGTGATTTGTACAAATTTACAATTCAGGATTTGGCCTGATGATGTTACTAGATGAAAAGTCAAAGGAGGCTAATTTCATAATTATCACAGTTTGTTTTAAA